TATAGACCAGATATTCACACTACGTCAGGTTCGAGAACACAGACACACGTTCAGACGCCCTCAATCGTAGTATTTCTTGACCTTAAGGCAGCATTCGACTCTGTTGATTGTGAGGTTCTATGACAGTGTTTGTCATTGAAAGGAGTACCAAAGAAGTACATTAACCTTATAAAGGCTCTCTACTCGAACACAACTGGTAGAGTGAGAGCTTATGGCGAACTGTCATCAGAATTGATTACCTCAAGTGGTGTTCGTCAGAGCTGCCCACCCTCTCCATTCTTGTTTAACTTTGTCGTTGACGTACTTTTAGAGATAACACTTTCCTCATCTAAATTTCCAGGGGTTGAACTTCTATCAAGAGATTCACTTGTTGACTTAGAATATGCAGATGACATAGTTCTATTTGGTGAAGACGCTGACAAAATGCAGAGTCTTCTGACCACTATAAGCAAAAATGCAAGCATGTTCGGAATGCGATTCTCCTCCTCGAAATGCAAAATGTTGCTTCAGGATTGGGTTGCATCGACACCCGAACTAATGATAGGGAGTGAAGTAATTGAGCGTGTCGATCGCTTCACTTATCTTCGAAGTCTCATCAGCCCTTGTGGTCTGGTGTGTGACGAAATCTCAGCACGGATACAGAAGGCTCGACTAGCTTTGGCCAACTTGCGTCATTTATGGCGTAGGCGAGATATCCATCGATCAACCAAAGCATGTGTTTACTGCGCAGCGGTTCGTTCCGTCCTACTTTATGGCAGTGAAACGTGGCCGGTAAGAGTAGAGGATATTCGTAGGTTACTAGTATTCGATCATAGGTGTCTTCGAAACATTGCTCGTATATCACGGGACCATCGAGTAAGTAATGCAGTTGTTAGGAAACGGGTACTAGGTAAGGGTGGCAAATCGATTGATGAAGTGGTGAAACTCGATCAGTTGAAATGGCTGGGACACGTTTTACGTATGCCCAACCACCGACTGCCCCGACGTGCGATGTTCAGTGGTATAGGAGTAGGTTGGAAGAAAGCTAGGGGCAGCCAGACCAAAACATGGCACAAATCCATGAAGTCACTGACAAGTGGTCTGAGTCATGTTGGTAGGTGTAGACTACCTGGTTGGGGACCGCGAGATGATAGCAACCGATGGTTAGGGACCTTGAATGACATGGCTCAAAATCGTTTGCAATGGCGCAGGTGCATCCACTCGTTGTGTTCTCCAAAATTTTGATCTCCTGATTCCCCCTTGTCTCTTTTTTCTCTTCCCAAGTTTATTTCACTGGATTATACTTTTTTAATAACATCTCCAAACACTAATCTTCCCGATTACTGCTTATACTCTTATTACCTCTACCACTACGGGATTTGAATCGACAACGGCATCTCTGTGCTAATGTGGTGTGGCAACTCGAACTGATGTACGTACGTACGAAGTTCTACGTTGATACTGACTGACTTAATGGACCTTTTTAGACAAATGAGTTAACAAATTGAAGTGTAAACTGAATGTCTGAAATGCTAAAACAAAATCACCACACACACATACATTTAAAATGTCATACTATTAAGAATTTCATTTACCTGAGTATAATCCAATGCACCAGGTTTCATTAATAAAGTCGCTAGTAGAACACGACGAAGTACAGATTGCCCAATAGACGATGCCAACAATGGATCATAAGCATGACAACGTGGTAAATCAACTGATATTTGATTAATGACTTTTTCATCCAAGAGATCACAACTAAGGTTATTATTATTATTATTATTATTATTATTATTATTATTATTATTATTATTATTATTTAATTCATTTATAGGTGTTACGTCCAAGCCAAGCTTATTGATTTTATGCAATGCCTTCAGGTAAGCTGATTCGAAATCCCGATTGGGATAAACGTTGAGTAAAGCAGCCCAAACCTAAGAAATACAATATGAAGTTGGTACAGAGAAAACCTTGGTTTTAGTTGTTAGGGAAAATCCAGTAACTAGTTCGACAAATAAGCGAACTTCAGGAACAACTCAGTAAGATAAACTGAACAAGGTAGAAATTCAACAAACATCAAGTGATAAATAATAACTACTGATAGGCATAAGATGTGTAAATAACGTTAAATACAGAGTGTGAACAATGAAGCTAAATGTTTAGACTAGGTAAAATGAGTAGATTAAGAACGTGAAATACATAAATTATATTTGAGGGAATAAATCAGCTTTTGATATCGTTGATCCATCACGAGTAAACTGGTCTCGTTCAAATATGAGGTGAGTCAATAACACGTTCAATGTCTGCCAAGTATTTATACCACTATGATTTGAATGGTAGAATTAATGATATCAGCCCATTTCAATGATGCAGTGGACCATATAGACGGTGCAGCTGCCAATGCTTAGTTGTCATACTAGTTTAATAATAATAACTGCTTTACTAAATACTGTAAATTTTGTTACAGTAAGGAGTTCTCAGCAACAAGTCATTCATAATAACATTTTCGTTTTTAATTTCACTTAAATATTTGTATGACATAATTACGAATTGTGACAACTTAGAATTGATAGGCTGCAACAAAATTTCCCAAAGTGTTTCTTGTTGTTCCGACTCTCCTGACACTGACAAGCTATTTAAGTTTTGAACGTAAAAACTACAAATATACAATTGAATGTTTCAGTCTTGCAATTTGAAAAAAAAATAATGACAAAGTCACTGATATATTACTGTATTTAAACACATTTTATATAAATGAACGAATCGGGAACTTCATAGACCTTAAACAATCGATAAATAAAAGTCTCAACTCTCAAAATAAGAGGATGATTTTAATGCACTAGAATCCAAAGAATTATCTGAACTAACGACAGCATCACAAATTCGATATACTTTTCAGAATACAGAAACTGGAGCTATATAGTACAACTATTTTAACTTCCCATGAGAGTTCTAGTTAGTAGACACAAAATAACGAATCAAATGCTTTCAGCATTGACGTAAGTTGTAGACTGTTCTGAAGTAAATTTTTATGGACGATTTTTTTTGTTCAGATGGGCGAGAATAACGATAAGCAAACGACATGCAATGATGTGACTGAGTGATGGCTCCTTACGAGAACAAATTATTAGTGTAGGTTCCCGTATGTATATAAGTATGATATAAGTAGTATATGACGCGAGTTAAAAACCTAATGTCTGGCAGCAGATGGGGGAAGATCAAGAAAGGAAGAGAGGGAACACAATGCAATTTGTAAGAAAACGCATGAACAATGAAATGTGAGACAATGCATTGATGTTTGCAACAGGAACAGTCCGGTTTGATATGATGGATTAATATTTTGGAAATTAACGATTTACTTTATGGTTTTTCCATTTTACCGAGTAACTGCAATTTTGTGCTAAATACATCCGATTGTCCTGGCCCGTGTTCTGTTCACTACACTCTTACTACTTCTACTACCTTAATATTTGTCCCGATAATTTCATATTGGTGTGCTAATGTTGTGTATGACGGAATGATAGGTCAAAATTAGATTGATTTACTCATTATGATTTTTTAATCAACATTAATTCTGTTTAATTCAATTTGATGATCACTTAGTATAGTATTAGTTTTGTTTATCCTTATGACATTTTATTCTGTATAATATACGATATTTTTGTAGGAAGTATTTTTCAGATATGTGATTTATTCTGATTAATCAAAAATGGGTGTATGAATCAATATATAAATGAGTATATTTCTGACTAGACTTGTCGTGGTTTTTCGTGATTCTGACTGCTTGAGGAATATATTTCCCCGTTTCGAACTTGGACTTCTCTCTCTCTAGTTAGCAGAGCTGAGACACATCAGAATAGCTAGCTTATCTGTCATTGTGTCACAGAGTCTTTGTTCCGTTCTCAGATTAGGTAAACTCGTAATCACTTCAAACATAGCAGTGTGGAAACTTTAACTGATGCATACATGTCCTAGGTTTTCTGTTGCGCAAGTCTAACTGATGAGTTTTCCATAGTACGAATAAAAACCACATTTTTAGTTTAATCTTACCTTCCAACGTAAAAATGGTGGTATATCTTTACGTGCTTCTAAACGAAGATATTGTTTAGTTGCGGGTAGTCCATTTATTATTCGCGTAAATAAACGTGTTCGATAAATTTGATAATCCACATCAGTTTCTCTAACTGATAATGGTTGTTGTGATATTGATTCATACTGATTATTTGTAAATGGCATACTCCAATCAATACCGGTAATACAGGTTAAATCATTTTTGCATAATGAATCTGAAGAATCTGAAAGTTTCTCAGTCACTTCAAACAAGGGTGAATTAGGAATCATATGTGTACATTCACTTGGTATTAAACTGTTAGATGAAGTATTAACATGATTAGTACTATTATTATTAACTGAGTACAAGGCAGAATAAACATTTGAATTTCCTGTGGAACTAATTTTTAAATCTTGACAAATTAATAGGGGATATAAATGATGAAGAGACGTATGCGATATACGTTCAATAAAACATTCATTGGAAAGTGGTGTAATTTGGAACTGAAATCTAAAAACGTAGAGACATTAAAGAAAGCAAAATAATTTGACAATTATCAGTAAAGCAGGGTTTGCGACGATTCTTGAATATTATAGTTTGTATCAACAACTGATCTTAGTTATACAACCACTGAAAAGTAAGCATAGGATAGTTGTGATTCCCGGAGCTTTAGCGGAAAGCCGTAACTAGTAAAGTTAGACTATGTCTGATGTAAAAGATTGTTAATAACCGATGGCGCTGAGAGATGATCGCATTATATCGCGAATATATATATATATATATATATATATATATATATATATATATATATATATATATATGTATATATATATATATATATATGGAGTGAGGTTAATTATGTGAAAAAACGAGAACGGCACTTACGTACGTGGCTGTGGCATTTCACCTAGCGGCCATTGTTCTTTTGAAGATATTGCACGTGTAGCATTTGATTGTACTATAGCAAGATAATGTGGAATTCTCAAGACTGGAGGTAATAAACATTGAGAATTCTCACCAATTAATGTTTCTTTTTCTTTTATTGATTCTTGCCTGAAACTGTTATGATGATAATTATCAATAATACTTTTTGAATCTGTATGACCTTTTAATGTAGCATGAATTTTACCACCGGTTAACATCCAATAGTAATAAAGTTCTGATAAATTTTCAATACTGTTAATAAAATTATAAGCTTTTAAAATATTATTTTTGTTATCATCCAAACTGAATAATTGAGGATGAAATTCACGTCTCTTAGGATGATTAGATATTTTCTATGTAATAGGAAAAAATAATGATTACTGATGGGATTCATAAAAGTATTTGTTCTTTGGAAATAGATATGTTAAATAGCATGATCTTTGATAGTAATTAACAGTAAATAAACACACGTTCATTGTCGCATGTTGAACAGTACTTACATGCAAATAGCACTCAAATACTAAAGAATATGCCTTGATTATCAAATAACAATATGCATACCTTATGCAAAAATAATATAATCGACAATAACGATCGCTACTTAAATTAAACCAGTTTGGTCATTTTGATTATTTACGAAGGTACCCTACATTTTGTTATTCAGTGGAATCTAAAGCGTTCAAATCCAATCTATAACAAATGGATTTTTTGCAACTTCTTTTATTTAATTAAGTATATGATGCATTGACTTGGCCTTGTAATACACTTTTGCTGAACAAATATACCTGTTAAAAAAGTCAGCTATATTACGATTATAATAATAAGCAACAATAAACAGCTACTGGTGTGATTACTAGTTATTTGTACTTTATAAGAATTAATGTCCCGATATAATTTTAAACAATTTTCTTAGGTTTATGAATACGGTCATGTATTACCATTAGTATTTAAACAAAGATGTCTTATGGTCTCTCTCTCTTACAACTTTATGAAAGGTCTCTTGTTATTATTTCCAAAAAGAGCTGCAAACAGGAAGAAAAGCAAAAGTGGCTCAACTGTAGGTAATCAAGTTCATGATTGCTGAGAAGTGATGGGGAAAAAATGAACAGAGATGGAAAAGGCAGTAAGTTTGTAACATCACACTTTTAGTAATTGAAGTAAGAAGTACGTAAATTTGATAGGTTAACTTTAGTTATCTTTGAAGATAGTGGTTCAGAACTACTAATTAAACTGACTAGTCTAAATTAGTGATCTTTTTCATATGACAAGGAAAAAAGTCTTATTTTAATAATCACAAAAGAACCATAATTTTAAAATCTCCACTTCCATAAACATATGAAACCCGCTACTATTTAGAATCACAAATACGAAGTTAATTAGGTAAGTTTAAGACCTACTCTAGTTAGTCAAACAATTCTGTCTTTTGCCATACTTTGAGACACAAACAATTATTGTCGTTAAATCTCACAGATAATGGACCTATGAACTGAATTTAAATGTTGACCTACAGAGTTGATGACAGCACTTGTCACTGAAGTAGGTGTCAAACAAGTAAATCAAACTACTCAAATGATTAGTGCCAGAACACACCTTATAGTAATTTATCTTTCGAAGCTAATCATTAAGATTATATACTGTCTACACTTTTATCCAACTGTTATGAATATTCCTCATGGATTGAGCATTTCCTAAGAGATCCTCATATCGACTTAGAATACGCAAACAGCACTGGAGTGAAGATCCCGATAGAATGCAGAGTTTACACCTCATGACACAGTTCAGCATAGTATTCCCTGACCTCATGAACAGTTGTAAAATTGGGGGAGGCCAGACTACGGCATTAGATCAGTCAGTAAGGTCACTGACCATTGGACTAAGCAAAGTTGTGGGATGTGAACATCCTGGTTAGCGTCCATGAAATAATTGCAATCTATAGTTGTAAACCTTACGTGATATGCTCCGAGACAGATTGCAGAGGCATCAATGGACTGATTATTCCTCTTCGCTAAAATCCTGAGTTCCCTTCTCATTTCTTTATTCCATTCACAATTCTTGAAATATATTTTCTATATTTAGTTACAAAACAATACTAACACTGACATTATTTTGATTCTGTTGTTTTCAATCTTACTAATTTCCTCTTACACTTTGTAAATATGGATTGTGAGAGCTTGGTTCGACGTACATTCATGCTAGTTATGACTAACTAATGCCCTTTATGTTGTGCGAACTCCGCCAAACCTATCAATGATGACCAGCAGTTGGGATCTAACTCTGTACGTAGGTACATTGACTACACCATTACTTCTACTCAAGTAAATAATTTGGGCACAACTGGTAACACTGGTGATTTGCACATGAATTATGCACTCTTTTTGAAGATGAGTAAGATGACTATTTCATTTCAGTGATTAAAAACATTGGGTTTTTAATATCTTTTCAACAAAAGTTGGGTAGCGACATTGTTCTATAACATAATTTTATACATAATATCTTATAATAACTTATTAAACAAAAATGCCTCAATCTGCATTCTTATTGAAATGAAACGAATTTAACTGGTTCAGGACTGTAAAGCTACCAAAAATCTTCGTAAGCAAGCATTCTTTACATAAAGAGAGTAAACTCACCCTACACCAGGAAGTTGAATATTTGTCACCACTTATATCGGAAGATATGTAACAATCAGTTTTCAATAATTCGTTGATCTGTTTCATAAGACATTTAGGATTAGGTCGCTTTATTGCATCGAACTTTAAGCAACACTGAATAAGCTGAACCAAGATGTCCAGGTCAGCAGATATAACATTCAGATGAAGTTGTAAAAATTCGGGTAATGTTGGATATTCATTCGCCTGACAAAGACCCCTTAGATACAAGGAAATTATTCCACCTTCTTTCATATTTTCACTCCGAAGTTTAAGTAATGGATTAGTGAATTCCCTACCGAATATTGTCTCAAAAAATATGACGCCTAAAGACCATATGTCTGCTTTTATATTTGTCCAGCACATATCAGATTTTGTTGAACGTTCTGGTTGACATGAATTATTGGCTTGATTGTATAAAAATAAAAATACCTCAGGAGCAGAGTACATGAGACTGGGGAAGGTGAAATCAGCTATATTTCCCCAATCTGTAGCATAATAAATTCCGTAGCCTCCAATTTTTACACATCCACCAGAATCAAGCATAATCATATCACGAGTCAAACAACAGTGCCCTAAACCATTGTCATTCATAAAAGATAAGGCAGACAGACATTCACTAAAGCGTTGGGATAACCAATTAACGTCAGTGACAGGACTACTGAAGTTAGAAAAACTTGTGCTGTAGTACTCACAGACAACTGATAGTATTTCTCCCTTCCCTCTGACAACATCGAGATACTGACACAAGTTATGATGTTTGATATGTAATAACCGACGAAACCTTGCATAGCATGTCACTGATACGGGTAATCTAGGCAAACCATTAACATCCACTTCAGTAAGACCAGACAATGACACCGGAATTTGTATTACGCCTATTGGAAATCCCAACGAAGAGCTGCTGAGAGGTGGTTTTTCCATGAGCCGAAACTAGAATTTAAGGAAAAAGTAAATACTTATAAAGCACGGAAGTAAATAAATTTTTAACTTGATATACCAGAAAAAGCAATCTTTAATGTTTATTCCAAATGATCAAATAAAACTAGGGTGATTTATTACAAGTTAGGTTAGTGCTAATAGATAAATGTCATTAACATCTACTGTGGATATCTTGAGTTATTTATTCTCTTTAATATAGTTTGGAAATGCTAAATTACAAGAAAATTACATAATAAAAAACTAACCAATTTATGTCTACCGGACAACCACGAGAAAGTGATTAAAAATACAAGATGCCAGATGTCCTCATTGGTGGTTTCCAAACGTAATTGCTGTTTCAACTTGGTGGTTGAGCCAATCTACCGTGATGGCACGATTAGGCTGTATAGGCTGGGACAATTGTTTCTTCCGGTTTTAGTATGCCGGATAGGTCGGTCGAATAGCAAGAAGATCAAAAATATATAACCTAAAGTCTGATGGAAATGTCTTACTGACAACTATACTGGAATATAACCAGAAGCAGTGTTTTTAGCGAATGACTGGTATATCCAATGATTTTGAATTACTAAAATATAATGGGGTTAAGAATGTCGACTGAAAAAATTGAGCAACCCACCTCTCCATAGAGATTTATGGTGCAGGTGCCAATGGTTTAAAAGTACAGAGTTAACATATCTAACAGCTCCCACAACTAGGATAGTATATAACCGGAATATGGTACTTTTCTCCAAATTTTAGGGAAGAATCTAAGTGTTATAAGATTCTGTGAAAACATTTGGGAAAACCCTAAATTTCCTCAAACATTTTAGGGATTTTCCCCAGACCTCAGGGAATTTTGGGGTTTTTGTGTCATTTCCTTAAAGTTTTCTATTGCGGTTTCCCCAAAATTTACCCAAAACGGACAAAATCTTCTATGTAATAGGAAAATTGGGATTCTTCAAATTATTATGACTAACTCACCAGAGAAAATACGTAGTTCTAAACAGGTAAAGTAGTAATTAGATCTAAATGATCCATCCCTAATACCTGACAGTACATAGTTGAATAAGTCTTAGGATCATTATGCACCTAGCAAATATGAAGTGGATTTAAAACACTTGACGTTCAACCACCAGGTTCCAAATATGAACCTAACTTCGGTTTATGCAGCGGTTATTATTATTACCTTAAACAGTATAGATTGAAGCCAACGTACAAAGCTGAACTTGATTGCTGATTAGAATGAGCACGGACTTCCGAAAAGCTACAACGTCCAAGTCCACCCGAAAATCGAGATTTCTAAAAGTAAAGGACCTCTGGGAATTTATTGATTTACTAAAAGATTTTAAAAGCTTTTACAACACATGCTGCTTTGGAGAACTGGACCTGTCATAAAGTTTCATAGTGTGCCATTTCTCCTTAGCAAAATTTTCTATTACAACTTTACGCCATATCTTTGTAAACCAGAGCTAACAGTAGATCCATAAAGAGCTAAGCTAGGCGTCATTTTCGGCAGGCCATACTGGCAGTCTATTAAGCAATTTGTCAATAATCTAAATCAAGAAAACAGACAGGATTCCTCATTAGAATCAACAAGACTGATATTAGTATAAGCAACGTGGAGGCGCCTTAGTTCTTAACAAATTAAACACTACATAAAATAAAGTTGAATGAAGAACTTTTTGCAGATGATGTAATGTTTTGGAAAGAGGTCTAAAACCAAGATAGATTAGCGCTGTAGTAATATCCAACTCGACTTCGAGAATGAGATAGCAATGAATCAACATCTAACTCTGGTGGGTAATCCATCAGTGGGATAATGTAAAACACACGTACAAAAAATAATTCTTTATTAATAGTCATTATTAGGAAACGATTTAAGTGTCTTGGTTTCTTATGATCTAGAATTGTACGTTAACTTCGATGAAGATGCTGTCAGAGCCAACCTTTCACTATTAACTTTGACGAGTATTTTTGCCGCTTAGAAAGTAAGCGTTTTGACATAGTTTTACAGTTCTGTGAAGCCTCAATTAACAAGAGAATGATGTTTTCTCTTTCACTCTCCAAATGAACCTTTTTGTAAAGTATTCAAAGTTTAAAAATACTGCGTTAATACCTCTTGAAATAAATAATACTGAAACGCTACCTCAAAGTGACTAAAATCACAAAATCTCATTTAACGTTCCCTGAAGCAATTACCTAACTTCAACTTCGATACAAAACGTAGAGGGGACATTCGTAGGTCAGATGTGCGGAATAGCAGATCAAATCAAAGGCATACATTCTGCTCCTCAGGAGAAGTCATATTTTGGGATTCTTCGCATTTAAAGTGGTCTGGGCAGCCCCTCAATGTCTTTTACGAAAACGCTTAATTTTTACTTGAGGACTCAGAATAGTACCCCACATTGGTTTATCGAAAATTCCTTTCTGTTTTTTTAACACGAACTTATAATTACGAGACCCATAGATCTCTACTTTGAGGCAAAAGGGATCCATTGGTACTAAAAATGGAGCCTAGTTAGAAAACTTCTATTCCGACCAAGTCCATTCACACTATCTGAATTATATGGATGCATTTGATGCTGAACGCAAAACTACCAGACTATGATAAACCCTATGATTTTAAGATGAGATGAAAAAATGATCCAGTTATTCTAAGAAATTTCCAAGGTATGCACTAACGCTCTGTACAGATCGGTCCCATTAATTCCCAACATTATAATACATAACATTCGGTGCTTTAAAGCACTCCCATGCAAACCATATTATAAATAATTATTTATAATATGGTTTGCATAGGAGTCACATGAGTCGTGGATCGCTAAGATACAAACGTCACTGACTGCGTATTTCACCATATCCAGCGTATAGACCACGTAAATCTTACAACGGATGTATCGTTCACTCTGGGAAGTTTTTATCTAGCTTGAATATACGCATACGTGCTGAGGTGTGAAGAGTAGTATGAGAGTCTGGAAAAGAAAAGAGCTTACTAATAGGCACATACGTTTAATAATGGAAGTGACTAACAATAATTATTGATAAATCAAGTGTTAGTTTGACATAATCTGACATTCAAGACTAGACGTTAATAGTGTATAATTCCGAATACGTTTGAATTTCACTCCTTACGTTCAAGCTAGCTATCGCAATTGTGATTGGTTCGGTTCAGCTTCTACAAAATACTCACTGATGGCGCTGATACCACTTGTTCGGTTAAGGCATTCCAGTCATTGACTTCTCGATGAGAAAAGCGGGACCCCACTTTAAGTTTAAATCGCGGTTTGTCGTCTTTCTTGCTATGACCTCGGAGATTATTAGTGTTGGAGGGAGTAGAAATATGAGACATATTAACACCAAAATCATAATTAAGGATACGAAGTGCCAGTATAAGGTCACCTCATACGATACAACGAGGGGAAAAGGTTTAGACGTTTTAAGCACTCATCATAAATGAGTTTGTTCCCACATGTTGCACACACTCGAGTGAGTTAGTATCCTTTATCAGACATGGGCTAGCTGCTTGGATACAGTACTCTAAGTGTCGTCTTACATAGGTGGGATATAAAATTTGAAACATTTCGTCGTCAAAGCATCTGAATGCTCGCCGAAGTGACCATAACGCACAATAACCCTTGGCAGCAGTTGCGTTGCCATGCCTAGTTGTTTCCAAGTCATGACTTATTTTTTTACTGAGATCGTGAACCGATTGATGTTAGACCATCACAATTGAAAACCTGGAAACACTGGACGGCCGTTTCGCCTTATTGTGGGACTCCTCAGCAATGCATATCCACGATCCCGCTAGCGGGATTAGAACCCAGGGCCCTCGGTTTCGCGCACGAACGCTTAACCAACTGGACCACTGAGCCGGCATCCACTGGTGATAGTTTCTAACATCAATCGGTTCATGATCTCAATCAAAAACTTAGTAATCTCCACAACCCCTATACTAGTCATCATTTATTATTACTTCTAAGTCTTTATGTTCTTGAACGCGTGTAAGTGATGTACCATCATTAGTATAAAGGTAAATATTGCCGTGTCCGGTGTGCATGAACACACACTTCCTAGAATTACATCCTAAGCCCCAACTTCGAGCCCATATAACTGATTCATCTAAGTCAGCTTGCAGATCAAATTGATCAGCCCCACTTCCTACTGTTCTCCAGATCTTGACATCATCCGCAAGCAATAATGTCGACGAATTAAACCCTATCGGTAATTCGTCAACATAGAGAAGGGAAAGTAAAGGGCCTAAGGTGGTGCCTTGGAGTACACCATATTTGACCGGCTTCCATTCGGATAGCGGTTCATCGACCCTCACTCTCTGCCTGTGGTCACATTACAAGTTTCCCATCAATTCCTATACAGCACCTGTAGTTCCGGAGCTCCAGGGCTTCTTCATAAAACATAAGTGTGAAGCCTTGTCAAACGATTTGCTAAAATCTGTGAATATCACATTGACATACAGACCGTTATCTAGGGTTTCTGTCCAGTCATCTCACACAGTAAGTAAATTGGTCAAGCATGAACGCTTGTTACGAAACCCATGTTGCTCGGGAGTTAACAGATTGTGTGAATCTATGTGACTTATTAACTTAACCCGAATTTTCTTCTCAAGTAACGAACATGATGGTTAGACTGACTGGCCAGTAGTTGGATACAATCTGTCTCTGATAATTCTTAAATACAGGACTGACTATAGCGTCTTTCCAACCTCTAGGGAGTTGAGCGAGTGAAAGGGACATGTTCAAGAGCTTCACGAGCGATCCTTAAATAATGTCTGCAAGAGATGACAGCAGCCGTGGATGTAATCCATCAGGGCCCTTTATCTTTCAAGGTTTGATGTTAGTTATCAATGGAAGAACAGTTTCCTCAGTCACATGTACAGATCTTATGTCTGATATGTCGGTATGATTGGGACAAGTATTTGTAACAATACACGTAGAGTGCACTTCGCTAAAATAGCTTGAAAATGTATCAGCTTTTGCCCATTATGATTCAGCTAGTAAATCTGAAATTTTCTGTGCCAGTAACGGGTGAATACCATTACTACGTTTCATTCGCCGTTTAACGTATGAAAACAATCGTTCCGGACAAGTACGGCCATCATATACCAATTGCCGTTCGTAAGTAGTACGGGATTTAGTTATGGTTTTTTACAAATATTCAGGAATTTTTGGTACTCACGATTAAATGATGCGTGACCTGTCAACAAAAATAAGTCCTAGAAGTGCTTTCTACGCTTTAACAACCTCGGGGTTTCCTTGTTAATCCATGGAGGGAATGTGATAACTTACGTAATGACCATAGGATAAGCAGTGACGCTACGGACTCGAATGCAGAATTAAACTTATTCCATTCATCTTCGATCGATACATCCGCGTCGACCGACCAATCAGTCGAGATAGAACAGTCTCTGACTGCCGGAATATTGGCTCGCTAGATATTGGGACGAGGTGGAGCGGATACAAATTGTATACCGTATGTCCTAAACTTAAAGTAAAGCACAACGTGATCACCGTTCACTAGTGGGGGAAGGTGCTGAATATCAAAGACATCCTCATAGTTGTAGGTGAGGGCAGGTCCCAGCAGTGACGGACCATGTCTCAATTCAGTAGGTGTCGGTTTTGCAATACATTGTACATGTGCACACTGAATAATGGTTGATAAAATGTCGCTATCGAAACCACTACCTGGAGCTGTAAGCTCTATCCAAGCGATATGTGGTGTGCTGAAGCCTCCAATTATGAAACAACATTCTGCCTTACTCCAAGAACAGATATGTCTTAAGATAAGGTCGTTAACAAAACAACACGGACTACGTATATTCCTCCTGTAGTCACTTACCCAACTTTATAACATGCTACCTCACAAGTACCACTAACATGATCCTCCGATATGAATAATTGTGTATGGAAGTGATTTTAAACGTATAAAATTTTCCCTCCCCCATTGCGACTTTAAACTCTGTCGCTTCTAATACAGACATAACCTGCAAAGATGTTAGAACATTCTATATCTACGGTGAACCAAGTTTATGTAACAGCAATTATATCGTGACTTAATTCATCCACCATCAGACTTAGCTCGGACGTTCGGTCTCTTAGACTACGGGTGTTCGTGAAGCACACGCTTAAGGTGTGTTGGGAATCATTTGTTCTACTCATACAGGCCTCGGAAGCATTGGCTTCCAAGACCTGACTACCCGAAAACCCTTAATTCTAAGGATCGTTTCGCCATTTAGGTTTCGATTTCTTAACTCCGTATGAGCTTTTTTCCACTTGATTCGATCATCAGGCGGCCAATCCGGTCGGATACGAATATGTGAATCACGGTTTTTGTGTGCGTTATTCAATATTATAACTCTTTCTTCAAAATTCCCGAGTATCGACTCCAAGATCCTTCTTGGTTAGGTCCCACTTTCAACCCATTAACCGAGATTGTATGCTTGTCTTTTAGCAGGGTCATTGTCTTCTCATCTAGATTCCAAGCAACTAAAATAGGAACGGGTTTTACTTTTTTGAAAGTCGTGTTCACGCCCTCCGATCGTGATATCAGATCCCGCCTGTTAACTGCTGGCATCCTACCATTCGTTTTCCTTCTAACAGTGTTGTGTTAGTCGAGCGAATGACTAAGCTATGTTTGATGAATTTATTAGTAACAGCCGCGCAGCTCAGGAAAGATATAAAAAGCAGTTGGCCTAATCTGTAGTCATGCAGCAGAGGAGGCAGTTCTCTTAAATGAGTTACATAACAGGAACCCATAATTAGATTCCTAACCTAATTACTGGAGAGGATGGATTTCAATTTGCAGAAGAAGACCACGACAAATCAGGGACCATGGCAAACTATTTTCGGACAGTTTGTACCCAGGATCCAATTCAGACAAAAGATTAAACCCAAATTGAAAGTGATGAAATCGGCTGTTCACTGTAGACTTTGATCGAGACTATGCACTATAGACATGGAAAAATCAATAGGAATGGATGAACTACACTCTGAAATTCCGAAGCGAATTGCACAATTTATTGCAACACTATTGACTGCGATATTCAAAATGTCAACAACATGGTTTCAGGAAAGGAGTATCTCGTACAACAAACCTCCTCATGGTAAGAGATCTATGGACAGAGGCTCTAGATAGTGAAAAATCGGTAGATGTTACCTACGTAGACTTCAGTAATGCATTTCATAGGGTGCCGAAAAATAGATTTCTCTTAAAGCTGGAAAATATATGAGTTACCATACATCTCTTGAAATGAGTTAAAGAATTCTTGGTAGGTCTTAGACAGAAAGTATGGATAAATTCCTGAAGGCCCTCCTGGAGACCAGCAATTAGTGGAGTACTTCAAGGCTCTATCCCAGTATCTTTATTCTTTACACTGTATGTAAGCAAACTCCCAAGTTCATCTTAGTCCCCGACGCTACAGTACCCTGATGACGTAAACATCTGGCGAGAAACAACAGGAGACGCAGACCTAGATGCTATGATTAGCTTGTCTACAAAGTGCTGAGAATTCTATATTGTACCAAAATATAATATTGAATAAAGCCATTAATAATAATAATTAATAATTAATAATAATAAAAGTCGTTGATGCCTATCAAGGCAGCCATGTATCTGCGTGCACATTAGGAATACAGAGGTTAGTAGGTGCAAAATAGGAAATAGCCATCGCCCGTAGTCCGACCTGTGTTAGATTAAACCTGTAATGGCATTGTACCCTAACCACACGACCTGTGAAGATTAGAATATATTTACTGAAAAGACTTATATTCAACAACTAACACAGAGAACGTGGGAACACCCAATTCCATCGGATGACATGGCTCAGCATTGCGGACGTCGTTATTCTGTGTAGCCCACTTTTATTCACATTAAATATATTATTCTTTCTTTAGTTTAAATGTATTTTTCAAAAGCGCTGGACATTATGTAGCTCATTCTTATGATACGATGAATCAGAATAAACATTTATGTGACTTCTAAGTAAGATTTTATGCATTAGGTAGTCGCGCGATGACAAATTTACAATTTAGGGATTATGTCTATTATTAGAGCAGTACTTGTAATGAAGTAGAACATAATTCTAAAAGCCATAGTCTTAATACCACAGCCCACTGTCGCGAGGTCGCCGCTAGGAGGTTCCAAACCCTAATGGCTTTAAGTTAGATACTAATAGGTTCACCACGGTATAAATAACTTTGGTGTAATCAAAACTTCATAGTTGAATTCAGGGTTCAGGGTAATCCAGAAAAATTATCTTGGAAACATATAAAGGGAAACTACCCATGAAATTCGAGAACTTCAAATTTAATCATACAAAGAGCGGTTTCAGAAACCAGGCATCTTTACTTTGTCCTACAGAAGACTAAGAGGTGATCTGTTTTTGGTGTATAGAACACTAAGAAATGATTTGGATCTGATGTATCGTGTCGTTTCCCTCCTACAGATCAGGAAAATCCAGAGGAAATAATACAAGGAATAAAGAACAAACAAACTGCTCGTGGCATATATTGGTTTTAACATAGGATATTCCACTTGCGAACCATCACGATTGTAGTGTTAGTCATAAGTTTTAGCCCATAATATATCTTATTCTGGTTTTCGGACATTCCATTCTATTCATTCTATTTGAGTCATATTTTGACTTTGTTAATTATTCGCTTATTAGCCTTGACTGTTTTCATATGAACGTATGTGTGTACACTTCATATCCCATGACTCATCACATGTCTGTAGTTTATTTTGTCTGCCTATAAATATTGAGTAATGCCTGGATTGAAATAGAGTTGGCTTCCCAGCCATCTTCCCTGTGCGTCATTTTGCTTGGCTCTGTTTCATTCGCTTCATGTACGAAATATATGTATTTTCAAGTCAATTCTTGTTATTCGACTTATTTAATTCCCTTATTGGATAACGCGATCTAAGCCGACGATGATATACGAGGTGATAGCAAACATTCATACAATCTGAAATGGAGTCAGATCACCGGCCACTAAACGATCACGAAAAAAACATAGAAAGGACAGAGAATATCAACTTTTAAAACCCTGTGTAGGTAGGCTACCTGTCTATTCATATAAAGCTCATACAGACAAACAGGTCGTGAAAGCTCACACGTTTCAAAATGAAATCATATATATGAACGCCTAATAAAATGGATAAGCTGCGTGAACTCCATAATGCTAATAATACTCATCTTAAAAAAATATCCGAAACATGAGTATTTACTCAATTTACGGACAAGGGGCTAGCAATACCCGGCGTGTCTTTGTTTCACAACGACAGAAAAAACAAGAATGGGAGACGGAGTATGAATGTTCCTGTGATCTTGCTTGATCGCAAATTAAGTGTAACATCAGGAGTTTATCAGTTCTGATGAATTCGTATGGTGTTCAGTGAGATTGTCTAACAGCTCGAAGTGTCTAGTTGAAGTCGTCTACAGGAAGCCTATTGATGAAATCTAGTTTGATATTCGTATGCTGGAAGGATTATCACGCTCTACTCGTCTCCAACAGACTCATCCTGATTTTAGGAAAATTTAACCCCCTCAAAGTCAACTTCGCAAGTGGATTGGGCGGTTCATCCTCAACTTGACTTGGGCACTCATTAGGATTTATTACTGCACACGATGTTTTGTGCTAAAAGTAGTCTACTGGACAAACGTTCCCCCAAACCTATAAGCAACCTACAGTCATCAAGAATCTCACCCTTTGTTTGCTAAGCCGCAAAAAAACACTACTAGGTTGAACACAAACGAACTGAAAACAACGCATACAGGCAATTCAAACAAGCAAGATAAAATGTACAAAGACTACAGCTTTCTGTATCAAATATAGGTAATAGTTAAACTTGTCTCCGATCTGAAAGGCTTATTCCGTAACTCGGCCTCGCTTTGGCAAGCCAAAACCGGGGTGTCCTAGCTTCTAGTAGCTGAACCAATAACAACGGTGACACCACTGACCTTCTAGCAGAACAGTGCTTTCAGACATTTAGAATGACTCATACTAACTATAATCATGAATGATTAATCAGCAACTCAACAGAACTCTCAGAATTGAACATGATCTCTCACTTAGTGTGTCGGAAGCTGCAGCACCCAATCAAGGACACTTCCTCTAGCCGGGATATGGTTCATTCTGCTATAATGAATAGGCTTTAATCTTAGCAACATTGCTCAGAGTGATGCTCTCATACTCGCTAAGCCAAGGCACATTACCAGACAATTAAATGCTGGCTTACATTACACCACTTTTCAATGGAGATCGACGCAGCGAACCTTCAAGCTACAGACCGGTAGCACTCCTCTATATACCCTCAAAAACTATGGAATCCATTATAGGTGGCGGTCTATGAAACTGATTACTGTCCAACCCAGCCCCACAACACAGTTTCAGAAAAGGTCACTCTTGGAAACCCAACCCGCTGATCGCAGTGGACAGATGGATAACCATCCTTGATCTAAAGGGGAAGGTTGACGTCATTTACCTTGACTTCTCAAAAGATTTTGATAGGGTAAATCATATATACATCTTATCAATAAGCTCAAACGATTTGGTATCAATTCACCTCTAATTGACTGGCTCATTTCATATCTCAAAATTCGACATTTTGTGGCCAGGATTAACTTTACTTTCTCTCAGGCTATGGAGTGTCCTATTTAGGACCCCCACTATTCAGTACTAGGACCTCTTCTCAGGTAACCCTCTCGGAGGTGTCCCAAGTTGAAGAAGATCTAGGAGTGTTTGTACCCTGTGATTTGAAGTCCTACACTGACTGTGACAAAAATGCTTTTTGAGCAAAGCTTGCACTGGTAAAGTTTAATCGCATTTTTGGTCAGTTTGACGGTTGAATTTTCTACATAATCAACGGTTTTAACCGGCCCTATCTAAAGTGCAGAAACATAGTATTTCCTGCCATTCTTCAAAAGGATAAGGGCACTTTGGAACGCATCCAACGGTGAGCCACGAAATTATTTCAGGAAGTCAAATTCAAGTCATATGACTCGCGCCCTCAATCACAGGACCTTTATCCGTCGAAGTAAAGGGGTCTTAGAGATGAATTACGGCTTACGGCATCTCAAACACTTCTGGACATCTCCCCTAAACACCTACTTAGGCTTTGTCCCAACACAAACCATAGGAGTAACATCCAGAAACTGGGGACGGGACACATTAGAACGGACTGTGGGCATACTTTCTACAACTTGAGAGTGGTCAACTTTTGGAATTTTCCACCAGTTGAGCTAGTCCAGGCTTCTTCTCAGGAGTCTTTTCGGAGGTAACGTAACACAAGGACCAAGGATAGTATTGCACTATGATTTACTATTTTTTCTTCTTTTTTCGTTGATGCACCTAGACTCTTGCCTGGAGGGAACCGGTGGTCCACTGCTACTAGATACGGAAGCCCATTAAGCGAAACCACCTATTCCGTCAAGAACCATTTGAACCATTTGAATCAGATCCAAAATAAACTAATAAACTGACTAAAATTAGTACATTTCGGCGGCTAGATAACCGTCTTTTGGACATTACTAAATAACTGGAACCGTACTGAAACGACAAGATGCGGGTGCAAAGGAATCAGTTGGTTCATACAAGTTCGTGTCAAAGATATTGGACATTGAAGGAATTTTTGGGCTAGCTGTTGGTGCGCTTCTCTTGATATTAGTGTTACTACTGTGTTCCTAAAGTTCCTTTATCTTTACTTGGACATGCCCATCCACAGACATATCAAAAATGTCGTTCACAATTATACAGATGCTGAAAGAAAGGTTCGGGAAGCTACATCAAACGATCCATGGGGTCCTAGCAGCACTTTAATGGCCGAAATAGCTGACAAGACTCATAATGTTATGGCATTCACGGAAATAATGCAAATGATTTGGAGAAGACTCAATGATAAAAGTAAAAACTGGCGCCATGTTTATAAGGCTCTTGTTCTTTTGGAATACTTGTCAAAGACTGGTAGTGATAAGGTCGCTACTCAGTGCCGAGAAAATATCCACTCAATAGAAACTTTGCGAGTAAGTTCTACGTAATTCACGTGACCAGCCTCGTTTTTAAGTCCTATTTTTGATTAACTTTTCGATTCATTCAAAACGTTAAACCTAGGAGATTAATATAGGAGCCAAAATATTCAAATGATTTTATGTGGACCAAGTTTCATTTCACTAGTTAATTAGAGACAGCTATCGTTGTTTACGTAGTCTTAAACAATATGAGGTTTTTACGTGAGCCACTGATTGTTTTCAATTATATACTTCACCTTATGTTATTACTAAAATGAGCAAGATTATAATTTATGGGCTACCTTTAAGCGATACTAAAGTGGATGTGAGACACTTCAGCCATTTACAAGTGTAAAAGTGGGGTCAAAAGGCGCTAGGAAGAATCGGATCTAGGAGTTATAACAAGGTTTTGCGTTTAGGGATCAAAGTTAGTGTGACACTAGCTGTAATACCGAAATGCCATTTAACCCTATACATGAGTAAATTCCGTGCAAGAACCCAAATGTCTCTGTCTCGAATTAGATTGGTTCGTCCGTTCATTATGGCTCATTCACCTGATTGTAAGAGGTTTAGGATAGTCTAGCACTTCTGAATATTCGTCTGAGAGACCTAAGAATTCACTTCGCTACTATCAAACGGGTTGTCGTGATATTTCGAGATATGTCAGATCATATGTTAGCTTGCTTGAATAACACCCGTATCTGTGGATGACGGCAAATATAGATTGTTTATGGATATAAGTAAATATATGTTTGTGGTTGGTGTATGCAATTAGGTTGTACTGGACTAAGCTCTCATCTATTTGTTAAAGATTCATATAAATCTATGACACCAGACAAAAATGGCGAGTTAACTGATTAAACCTTGGATCTCCATCGACTGAACTGGATGTGTTATGTTTTACTTTTTTCCAACCACTGTTTACTTAGAAGCATGAATGATTTAGGAAAATCTAGAGGCGTCTTTGGATTCTATATCAATCTATGAAGTCATTGACTTGAGTTAGGTCGTGTTGGCAAACAGACTACCTGGAGTCCATGAGATAATTAAGATTAGCAGTCGGAGATATTGGTCGACTTGACCCGAAACTGATCATAGTAGCGCAAACACTCACATTTTACCTCCTTAATCTTAGGTTTAACTAGTCCTCCACACATACCTGCACAACATCCATTCTTTCGAAGCATGTTTCTACTCCTTAGTCGTTTTAACAATTGTTGATAATGCCATTTACTTTTTAAATTCATTTTATTGTGCTGATGTGTTATAGAACATTAATCATGATCAGGATAATGAGAGCATTAAAATACATGTACTACCTTAATTACTCTTATAGTAAAGCAAAACGTATGGTAATACTATATAAATATATGGTTCTTTCTGTTACCAATATTTCTCGTCTCTTATTGTTTACTGAATCTTTCATTAGGTCCAGAAACACTTGAAAATTGCCTGGTACCAACAGTATGTAATCTTTACGTAGTTCTCACCTAATAAGATCTTTCTTTGGTATATTCATTAGGTTCCTCTTTTACAGTTTGTTGGCACTTGTTCTTCCAGATCTTTTTGAAAACAACATATATTTGCAGATACCTCTATATATGAATTTAGTACTTCAGTTAATATGCTGTTTGCTCTTGCCATTCTTAATTTGCCTGATAGCCTTATTAATTTTCAGTGTCAGACATCTTCTATAGGAAGGTCTGTGTGCTGCTTCAACGAGTCCGCCTATTCAAGAGCACTTCAAAGCGTTACATAAACCTGTTCTGCTGCTCATCAACTTCAGTGATTGAGCTATATTTTTGTTCTTGTTACTTTTTGTTGCCAGTTCCCATGGACTGGCAGGTGTGGGGATAGCACTAAGCATGAGGGCGGAACAAGCACTGTTAAAGTGGATCCCCGTCAACAGTCGTCTATGTGTTGTCCGGCTAAACGGCTCCGTAAGAACTCGCAAGGATAGGGACACACGTCGTTGCCTTTTTGTCGTTTCTGCCCACGCTCCCACCGACTGCAGCTCGGATGAAGTGAAAGATGAATTTTACAGAAAGCTATCTGAACTTCTTCAGAAAGCTGAACGTTCAGACATAGTACTCGTAGCAAATGATTTTAATGCCCAGATAGGTAGTTTAAACCAAACAGAAAGGCATTTAGGTGGATATTTCAGAATTCCAGCACAACGAACAGATAATGGTAGTCGTCTGCTGCAACTGTGCTCAGATAGTCGTTTATTTTTAACAAATACATTTTAAGCATAAGGAGAAAAATCGTCTAACATGGCGACCCCCTACACCAAACTAACGATGGACTCAAATAGACCATATTGCCATCAGTCATAGTTGGAGAGGATCGGTCGAAGATTGCCGCTCATTCTGGAGTACCTGTTTGGACTCAGACCATGCCCTAATACGGGCACGCATCTGCTTGCGCCTCACTGGACGCAAAAAAAATCCACATTAAAAAGACCCATTAGAAGTGGATTGAGTAGCGAGAAAACCAAAAGTAGGTTCCAGGAACAACTGAGGTCACACTTAGGTAGTTCTGAAAACGAGGCTGACCCAGATGTTGCTTGGAAAGATATGCAAACAGCTGTGGAAACAGCAATGAAATCTATTAGTGACTTAAAACACCGAGTTACAAAGAACCAGTGGATTTCTTCAAAGTCTATTACACTGATGGATTCTCGCAAACTCGTCCCGTCAGGTTCCGAACATGATGAAGAGCGACAACAAATCAGATCTAGGTTAAGAAAAAGTCTAAGAAACGACCGTGAGCAGTGGTGGGCAACGAAAGCAAAAGAGATGGAAAAGGCGGTGGCTATAGGGAACACAAGACAGCTCTCAGTCAGTCAGTCAGTAACAACGTAGAACTTAGTACGTACGTACACCAGTTCGAGTTGCCATACCACATTAGCACAGAGATGCAGTGGTCGATTCAAATCCCGTAATGGTAGAGGTAGCAAGAGTATAAGCAGTAATCGGGAAGATTAGGGTTTGGAGATGTTATTTAAAAAGTATAATACAGTGAAATAAATTTGGAAAGAGGAAAAAAAAGGGACATGAAGAATTCAGAAGATTAGAATTTGGGAGAACATAGAGAGTGGATGCACCTGCGCCATTGCAAACGATTTTGAGCCATGTCATTCAGGGTCTCTAACCATCGGTTGCTATCATCTCGCGGTCCCCAACCAGGTAGTCTACACCTACCAACATGACTCAGTCCACTTGTCAGTGACTTCATGGATTTGTGCCATGTTTTGGTTTGGCCGCCCCTAGCTTTCTTCCAATCTACTCCTATACCACTGAATATAGCACGTCGAGGCAGTCGGTCGTTGGGCATACGTAACACGTGTCCCAGCCATCTCAACTGATGAAGTTTCACTACTTCATCAATTGATTTGCCATCCTTACCTAGTGCCCGTTTCCTAACAGCTGCGTTACTTACTCGATGGTCCCGTGATATACGAGCAATGTTTCGAAGACACCTATGATCGAATACTAGTAACCTACGAATATGCTCTACTCTTACCGGCCACGTTTCACTGCCATAAAGTAGGACGGAACGAACCGCTGCGCAGTAAACACATGCTTTGGTTGATCGATGGATATCTCGCCTACGCCATAAATGACGCAAGTTGGCAAGTTGGACATATTATTCATTCTCAATCCAGGAGATTGGATCGATGGGCAGAACACTTCAGGGATCAGTTCAACTGGCCTTCAGCCACACTTCGGTTTCCCACGATCTCCAGTCAACTTGAATGGCAAGTTAATGTAGGTCCTCCGTCTCTTTATGAAGTTGAAAAAGCCATAGGAAATCTGAAACGAGGGAGAGCAGCAGGCCCTGACAGGTTTACTCCTGAGATTTTTAAGGATGGTGGTCCAGTGTTAGCAATGAGATTAACTGAGGTCTTAGGTAGAATTTGGGAACTGGACGTAATCCCATCTGACTGGTCTCAATCACTGATTGTGCCAGTCTATAAGAAAGGACAAAAGCCCTCTTGTGACAATCACAGAGGAATCAGTTTGACTAATATAGTGTCTAAAATATTAGCTTCAATAATACTTCTGTATCCGTGCTGAGATTTCGTCACACACCAAACCACAAGGGCTGATGAGACTTCCAAGATAAGTGAAGCGGTCGACACACTCAACTACTTCACTCCCTATCATTAGTTCGGGTGTCGACGTAACCCAATCCTGAAGCAACATTTTGCATTTCGAGGGAGAGAATCGCATCTCGAACATGCTTGCATTGTTGCTTAGAGTGGTCAGAAGACTCTGCATTTTGTCAGCGTCTTCACCAAATAAAACTGTCATCTGCATATTCTAAGTCAACAAGTGAACCTCCCGGTAGAAGTTCAACCCCCGGAAATTTAGATGAGGAGAGTGTTATCTCTAAAAGTACGTCGACCACAAAGTTGAACAAGAATGGGGAGAGTGGACAGCCCTGACGAACACCACTTGAGGTAATCAATTCTGATGACAGTTCGCCATAAGCTCTCACTCTACCAGTTGTGTTCGAGTAGAGAGCCTTTATAAGGTTAATGTACTTCTTTGGTACTCCTTTCAATGACAAACACTGTCATAGAACCTCACAATCAACAGAGTCGAATGCTGCCTTAAGGTCAAGAAATACTACGATTGAGGGGCGTCTGAACGTGTGTCTGTGTTCTCGAACCTGACGTAGTGTGAATATCTGGTCTATACAACCACGTCCAGGTCGAAAACCAGCCTGGTTTTCTCTAGTCTGCTCTTCACGAACTTTGGTTAGGCGTCGAAGTATTATTGAAGCTAATATTTTAGACACTATATTAGTCAAACTGATTCCTCTGTGATTGTCACAAGAGGGCTTTTGTCCTTTCTTATAGACTGGCACAATCAATGATTGAGACTAGTCAGGTGGGATTACGTCCAGTTCCCAAATTCTACCTAAGACCTCAGTTAATCTCATTGCTAACACTGGACCACCATCCTTAAAAATCTCAGGAGTAAACCTGTCAGGGCCTGCTGCTCTCCCTCGTTTCAGATTTCCTATGGCTTTTTCAACTTCATAAAGAGACGGAGGACCTACATTAACTTGCCATTCAGGTTGACTGGAGATCGTGGGAAACCGAAGTGTGGCTTTAGTCCAGTTGAACTGATCCCTGAAGTGTTCTGCCCATCGATCCAATCTCCTGGATTGAGAATGAATAATATGTCCATCTTTCTCTGAGATTGTTTCGCTAACAGTCGGGTTCCTAATTCCGGTTTCCTTAACGAGTCTAAACAATTGTCTGCTATTACCTATTGCCGCTGCCTTTTCCATCTCTCTTGCTTTCGCTACCCACCACTGTTCGCGATCATTGCGTAGACTTCTTGTCAGCTTGCGCTTAAGCTGACTCCGCTCTTCACTATGTTCAGATCCAGGTGTAATGAGTTTCCGAGCATCTATCAGTGCGATAGATGCTGCTGAGATCCAGTGTTGCTCCCTAACCTTCTGATTTACCTTACTAGCAGATATCACTGCTGTTTCCACAGCTTTTCGGATATCATTCCAAGCTGCATCGGGGTGGGCATCACATACATGGCTGCCTAACTGTTTTCCTAGTTGTTCCTGAAATATACTCTTAGCTTGACTATCATTAAGTAGGCCCCTAAGAGGTTTCCTTGCAGCGTCTTTCCTACGTCCAGTAAGACGCTAGCAAATACGCGCTCGCACTAGAGCATGATCTGAGTTTGAGCATGTGCTCCAGAATGAGCGACAGTCTTCTATCGAGCCCCTCCATCGGTGGCTGATGGCGATGTGATCTATTTGGGTCCAACGTTGGGACGAATTATGGGGTCGCCATGTCAAAAGATGTTTTTCCTTATGCTTAAAGTTAGTATTTGCAAGGAACAGGCGATTATCTGAGCATATCTGCAACAGACGGTCGCCATTATCTGTTCTTTGAGCCACGACACCATAAGATCCACCTAGGTGTCTTTCCCTATTGCTTAGTTTACCTACTTGAGCATTAAAGTCACCGGCTACTATTACTACATCAGAGTGCCTAGCTTTTCGGAGAAGGTCGGAAAGCTTTCTGTAAAACTCATCTTTTACATCATCTGGGCTGCAGTCAGTGAGAGAATAGGCAGAGACGACGAAGAGGCAACGACGTGTGTTGCTATCTTTCCGAGTCCTTACTGTTTCGTTTAGTCAGACAGCTCACAAACGACTGTCTACTGGGACTCAGTCTATGAGAGCTAGTTTCGCTCTAGGACTTGGTGCTATGCCTACGCCGGCGAGTTCACGAGAAGCAGCACTTGGGCTTTCAGATACACGAAGTATGAATAGAGTTGGTTCTTTATTTTGGCATGGTGAGGTCAAATGAATGATGCTACTTGGATCCTGTATGCGCGTTTCGGAGACGCAGCACAAATCGATGGCACGGGATTCTAAAGTCCTAGCTAAGGAAGCCTGCTGTCCTATTTGGCACAGTGTTCGGACGTTAAAAGCTCCTACGTGTAGTTTAGAGCGTGGTTTCAGGAGACCAGGAATAGAGTTCCACGTACTAGAATCGTTTGCCCTAGCGGTGCGAGGTGATAAAGAGAGATGAGGAGGGTTAGTCATGGAAATAAGAGAGGTATTAGGAGGTGTAGGAAGGATTTGAATGTGACCAACTTGGTCCCGCTTGCTGTTACGGGTATGAGGGCTGATGTCACTTCCCGGCTGCCCACACCGTGGAAGGGTATTTATTGAGGAACCTGAAAAGGAAATTGGATTAGTGTTGGTCTTAACGACCTGGGAGCGTGACCGCAGAGCCCAAGGGACAACTGCTTGAGGCCGGTCGCGCACGGTTTTTTTGTAGAAGGTTTTTGACGTGTTAGCTCCGTTCTTCAAAGGGCCTTACCACCGGAGACGGGAATCCGTGAGGTATGACATTTTTAGGGTCGACCTTTTCTAACCCCTTCCTTCCTCGCGAGAAGGCAGCATCGCTGCAGATGCTGGTTGTCCGAGGGAAACACCTTACTGTTGTCACACCCCTCTAGAGTCAGCAGTACGACTTCGTCCTCAAACTTGAGTTGCTGCCTTTAGTCTTATCTTTCTCCAATCGACCTGCCTGGTATGGTAGAACCTACAGGAACATATGTTCCAGACAATATAGCTCGGTTGGGTCATCACGATAGGCAATCCCGACCACCGCGTCAAGGTAGCAGCTATGGTCCGGCCTGATAACTGATACGAACACCTCAGGTAGAGTGAAAGCTTACTAGCAGCTCTACTCAGTATCGAATTCCAGCAATGCTGTTATGGAGGGTTGTTCAGTCTCACCATTCCTTTTCAACTTTGCTACCTATGACATTCTGGCAATAGCTGTAATGAAAGTAGGTCGCGGTGGTGTAAATTTGTTGCTTGAAGAAAAATTTTCCGATCTTGAGTATAGGTTTTGTCTTGTTTTAATTCCGATAAACTCCAACCTATGGAAATCATACTTAATGATTCAGCATTTAGTGTCCGTAAGTGTGACATGTACTGTGCAGCTTCTTAGTGCAGAGTACGTCTGAAAAACTGGGAGAAACCTGTCTGCACTCATTGTTTATGATGAACGATTAGAGATAGTAGAACAGTCCGCGTATCTGGCTAGTTGTGTGTATTTTTGGTTGATTAATTGATGAAAAACAAGGAAGTTTACATCGATGTGACCCATCTTTAGCGTCGTTGTGATGCTAGTCTGGATATAAAATTTCGCGTCAGTTGCAAGTCAGCGAAACCAGTCCTGCTCTACTCTTACGAAGTCTGATCTTTCTAAGATGAGCAAACACAGAACTCAGTAGCGACATGTGTTAGTTATACTGGAATTAGATTATATGTGTTTGCAAATAGTACTGAAGGCTCAGTTGTTGCCAGAATCTTAAAACACCGGCTTTCGTGGCTTGGACTTGTGTTACAAATGTAACCCCAGGAAATTCCTCATTGTTCAACAATTTCCAACTATAAGATGATGTAGAAAGAGCGAAGAGTTGGTCATTTTACGATATGATGCTGTGGTGTGAGAAGCCGTACAGGACTGGCATCTGTCAGTCCATCACGACTCCCTGGTTAGGGTCTTAGAATTGGTGCAGCGCAGTGGTTTGAATCATTGTCAGACATGGATCAAAATAAAAACCAATGATCATTGCGGTATTTTGCTTTTGAATTCTTCATAAAAGATCGAAGAAACTGCCTTTGCTTGTGTTTTCGACTGGACTGCACCATCATATACTAGTCTCATTCACATTTATTATTTGATTTATTTCTGACTATACCCCTAAATCTTCATAATGTGACCGACCTCAAGCAATTGTCCCTTGGACACTGCTGCCACTCTCTCAGGTCACTAAAGTCACCCTTAACCCAATTTTCTTTTCAGGTATTTCTGGAAGAACCCTTCCACGGTGTGGGCAACTGGGAAGTGATAACCGCCCTCATACCTCTAACAGCACTCAAACGTCTAACTTTTAATCGTTTAGCCACAGGTTCGATTGACATTGGAAACTGGTGTTCCTATGCTATTTAGTCAATCGGCCATAAACAACGTCCAAGTTGTCTGATCACATCACATCGAGATGAAATTATCAAGAAGAATATCAAAGTATTAGTAGTGTGTGGTGTAATTGGTATTAATGAAGACTACGTATAGATGATTTGATTCGAAAAGTGGGGTTAATTATCCAATTAAGAGGTATAAGGTAGTTGTAAAACTCAAGATCTAAAGGAAAGTTAAAAACTTGAATGCGAGTGCGCCACTACGACCGATTCCAAACAATGTCACCTAACGTCTGTATTCATTGGTTGATATAACCTCTCAAACCCCAACTAAGTAAACTACATATGACAACACGGTTCAGTCTAACAGTCAGTGACCTCATGAAGTGTTATTCAGTACTATTACCTAAGTATAATTTCGTTTATATCTATACTTGGACATCTTATTTCATATGTATTTGGTTTCACAGTATTTCAGTTCTCAATGGTGCTCCTACTTCTAGTTTTATGGCTGCATATAATTAACTTATTGTCAGTGACTGTTTGAGAGTATGGTATATTTGAGAGGTGATCAAAGTGAAATTAGTTGCATGTTGATGGGTTATAACAATAATTTACATCACCTTAGACTTAATTTACTAGTTCTTAATCAATTTGAAAAAAAGTGCTTTCTTATATTTGCTGACAGACACTAATATGATTTAGTTTATTAATAGGTGTTTCAGTTAGATGACTTATAGAATCATTATTGAGTCCTCGTAACTGGGTTCTGTGAATATAGTTCTCTCGAAGCCAGCGTTCTATTCTTTTTCCTTCAACAAACAGGACTTTGAGTGTGTTGAAGATGGGAAAGATCGTGGTAAGAATGTCCGTGAGAAAGCTCGTCATTTGAGTACGCTTCTTAGAGATGAGGAACGTTTGCACGAAGAACGTACAAAGGCTCTGCTAGCACGTGACCGTTTGATGCATGGGGGTTTGGGAACTACGGCTTCCGCTGGAGATTCACCGGTTAAATATGGTGTCCCACCATCTGGTCGTGGTAGCTATCCTATTGGATATTCTGGCTCCAACTATTTTGAAAAAGGAACATTGCCTTCAAGTAAGTGTATTTATGTTTGTTTTTTTAATTTTTACTGACAAACTTATATCCTATTGGGACGCAAGTGTTCCGATAAAATTTACGAATTAGTATAAAGAGATTATAAAATTAAGTATGGTTGTGGACAACATCAGCACGTACTGCTAGTATTATATAACTATCTTTGCCTATGTTAATGAACTTCGACAACTGGAGACAATTCGATTGGGGAAATTTCAAAATCACCAATGAATTAAAACCTAAAAATGAAAAACGCCTTTTAAAAGCATTAATGTTCAAATTGATTTGCAATCATTGTCTACGTCAACATGGATCCACCCTGTCAGTTTACGAGCATAAAGTGAAACAATCACATAGTGAAAGGCTAACTAAGGAAAACATTTTATGGGAATGCAGCTGAGCACAGATGTAACAAACGCTTTTGAAATAAACAATCATTAATAGGTTCGGCAGAGCGAACTAAATTGGGAGTTGCAGGATAATTCCAAAAAGATTACTTCTATTTACAGTAGTAGAGTAACTAAACGGATTACCATGATAAAAAATGGTTTCTTCTTAACAGTACGTCAGTCGACAGTAAATAAAGTTGTCTCAGTATGTTGAAGAAATGGCCATAAGACATCACTTAGTCTGTGACTGTGAAAAGTTATCATTTAACAAGAATACATTTCTTTATATACATATTGAACCTACCTAAAATTAAAGCGAAACACAGTTGAATGATTTATAGTTATTGGCCTAGGTGGACGATAACTTTTGTAATTAATTTATTCAGGCAACGTAACAACATAAATCAAACCGAGGAGTATAAAAATGTCAACCTCACTGATTAGTAGCTCAAAACGTTCATTTATAATTTACCTACTTGCTTTCAAATAAAAATTGCCAATCAAGCTAAAATTTAATCACTTAACTAAAATAACCTATCATCACCTATCTAAGCTGTAACATTCACATAGATATTCTATAATAAGAAATATATATATAACGAAAATGCAAAGTATGAAAACTTTTTGTTAAAATTTGTCAAAACCTATCAAATAAGTATTAACTAAATTGAATTGCATGTTAACATTGCATGATTTTTTGGTTGAATGTAAATATGATTAATAAGTAGCATTTTCATCTTATATATATACTTAATTGTTTTCTGATCTAGATCACTTAGTTTGTTTTAGTAACTTACTTCATGTTTGTATGTTGCGTTATTCGTTGTGGCTAAGTAAACATTTCGTGTTTTTTATGTAATTCTGATGTGATAGTATTTTTCGAAGTTTAGCTTAAGTCATTTATAATGTCTCAGGTAAACTTATAAGTAATTCTTATCACTTGATCCAGTATACTTATACTGTCTATGCACAAAGCCGTCATGCTGGCATTGGAAAACTGTTATTTTTGGGATTGAATATTTTACTGAGTTCGGACAATATATCTTAATTTTTAGAATCTGTTTCTCATGCTGCAACTGAATTAGATTCCGTTAGACCTCAATCTGCTGGAGAAGAACAATTACATCTTCAACTTGCTCTGGCTATCAGTAAAGAGGAACATGATCGAGAAGAACGGCGGAGACGAGCTGAAGAAGCTAAAGAAGAAGCCAAGGTACAAATGGTAATAGAGCAGAGTCGTCGAGAAGAACAGGTAATTACTTATTTTTCGTTGTTTTTAATTCTATGTACATCAAAGAAAGTAAAGAATATCCGGGCAAACAACTGTTTCTTGTAACCTCTTCTAACTTCACATTTATAAATTTATCAATATTGTGTAACAAACAGAATATTAGTGTACAAATATAAACTTTATGGTTAAGTAAGTCAGTGTTATAGATTGAAAATAGCGGATGTCAAGTCGATTAGGTCTTAATTACCAGCAAAATATATCATTGGTAAAGTTGACATCATGCGAAATTGATAAGAATAATGTGTACACACATCATATTGGTGTGATTGAGGATACTTTTTTCTTTTCTCAGTTGATTTTAGTGAAATACTTTTCTTATTATTAGAATGAGGGTCTATGGAAATTGTAGTGATTTCTAGATAGTTGAATTAATGAGTCGATTAATGGATGTGCACTACTGAGGAGTTCCATAATAGGACGAAACGACTGTCCAGTGCTTCCAGGTTTTCAATGGTGGCTTAACTTACATAGACTCAGAAACTGAACTATTAAAAGTGGTTTTTGGTCTCTTTTACTCTCTTCCCTAATTTTGGAAATTTCAAGAGAACTCACAAACATAGTCCTTTATTGAAGGGAGAGGTTTTGGCTGTTAGCATTGGTCAACAAAATTGAACTCAACTTCCAGTCAGTCAGTCAGTAACAACGTAGAACTTCGTACGTACGTACATCAGTTCGAGTTGCCACACCACATTAGCACAGAGATGCCGTGGTCGATTCAAATCCCGTAGTGGTAGAGGTAATAAGAGTATAAGCAGTAATCGGGAAGATTAGTGTTTGGAGATGTTACTTAAAAAGTATAATACAGTGAAATAAACTTGGGAAGAGAAAAAAGAGACAAGGGGGAATCAGGAAATCAAAATTTTGGAGAACACAACGAGTGGATGCACCTGCGCCATTGCAAACGATTTTGAGCCATGTCATTCAAGGTCCCTAACCATCGGTTGCTATCATCTCGCGGTCCCCAACCAGGTAGTCTACACCTACCAACATGACTCAGACCACTTGTCAGTGACTTCATGGATTTGTGCCATGTTTTGGTCTGGCTGCCCCTAGCTTTCTTCCAACCTACTCCTATACCACTGAACATCGCACGTCGAGGCAGTCGGTCGTTGGGCATACGTAACACGTGTCCCAGCCATCTCAACTGATGAAGTTTCACTACTTCATCAATTGATTTGCCATCCTTACCTAGTACCCGTTTCCTAACAACTGCATTACTTACTCGATGGTCCCGTGATATACGAGCAATGTTTCGAAGACACCTATGATCGAATACTAGTAACCTACGAATATCCTCTACTCTTACCGGCCACGTTTCACTGCCATAAAGTAGGACGGAACGAACCGCTGCGCAGTAAACACATGCTTTGGTTGATCGATGGATATCTCGCCTACGCCATAAATGACGCAAGTTGGCCAAAGCTAGTCGAGCCTTCTGTATCCGTGCTGAGATTTCGTCACACACCAGACCACAAGGGCTGATGAGACTTCGAAGATAAGTGAAGCGATCGACACGCTCAATTACTTCACTCCCTATCATTAGTTCGGGTGTCGATGCAACCCAATCCTGAAGCAACATTTTGCATTTCGAGGAGGAGAATCGCATTCCGAACATGCTTGCATTTTTGCTTTTAGTGGTCAGAAGATTATGCATTTTATCAGCGTCTTCACCAAATAGAACTATGTCATCTGCATATTCTAAGTCAACAAGTGAATCTCTTGATAGAAGTTCAACCCCCGGAAATTTAGACGAGGAAAGTGTTATCTCTAAAAGCACGTCAACGACAAAGTTAAACAAGAAAGGATTGAGTGGAGAACTCAACTTCCGGGTGTATTACACTTAAGTTGACTTCTACCAACTCTTCCTTTTATTTTCTCTCTTCATGGCCTACATGCTCACTCTTTCTTACTGTCAATGATGCTATTACTATTTCATTTCATTTAATAATCATCGCTTCAATTTCGTCTTGGTGTGCTGATGTGGTATCGATGCACACTTTCTTCAAGTTCTGCATCAGTTACGTCTGACGGACGGCTTTCTAACCATCTAAATGTATTTATCAGAACGTTTTTACAATTTACGCTTGTACACATTGAGATCAAAGTTAAAATGTTCGAAATTTTTCCTGACCAACAATTTCGTTCACTTTTCACATCGTTCCTTGATACTCTAAGTATTACTGTTTGTAATAGTTACTGAAAATATGTGTGTATCTAGTTAGTGAATTAGCTCACTAGTGACTTCTGTACTTGTACAATGCTAAAAGATGTCGTCGATATGACTGGATGATAATTCTAAATTGTTGTAATAAACTCGTATATAGTCTGGTGAACAAAGAATTTATACACAAAAGCAAACGGAGTTTTAAAGTAAATCTAATTCATTTTCTCGTATCTGATAATATTTTGTTTGAACGTAAAATCTTCGAAGTAGTATTAGACATATATTTGGTTTCATGATTTTCAGTCAGTTGTTAAGACTATTTGTACTCGCTTAGATTAAACCGAATAGATAGATTCTGATCTCTAAAAATGATTATATTTAGCTTTAAAAGAAACTATTGTAATATCTACTTAACTTTTTTTTGAAATGTTCTCTAATCAACTATAATTGCAAGCTATGTACAATTTTATGATGGTTTCTTTATGATAAAAATCTTATTAGATCCTTTAACAGAAATCAGTTATACTACATTGATATAAGAATAATGTTATAATCCAAGATGTGTATTTCATACTGTGCACAGTTTCATATTTTTTCAGGAAATACTGGTTAGTCAATCAGTTATATATATATATATATATATATACAATTTCATCTACTTTTTGAGAGACTATGTTACACTCCACGGTGGGATGTGTTGTTCACGAAATCGAGGAGACGAAAAGCAACTGTCCGGCGCTTTAACCGAGTTGGTGGATATGGAGGATCCACCTAGGGAAAACCCTGATTCCAAACCAATGGTGCACGTGGGCTCCAGGATCCTGAGAAAACAAATGGCGTATAAACCTGTTGTTGGTCACCAGCTACCACGGAACTGCATCTCCTAACATTGCTCCACTGCTTTGTTGATTATACCTCTAGGTCAAAGGCTCGGGAAGTGGTCACCTAAGAAAATCACCTGCCTCGGTTTGGGCGCCCTCACACAAATTGAATGACGAAGTGTGGCTTATATATATTTGGTGCTTCCTTGTACCAATGTTTGTGTGTTTAAATAAATAATAAACATACTTGAATTCATGAATCATATCTATTTGACATAAACTTAAGAGCGTTTCCTGTTATTTCTTTATTCGTTTTTGTTCAAAATTTTTGTCATATTGGTGGTTTTACTTTCAGAGATAAATTTCGTTATTGTTTGTGTGAATAGTTTTTATTTAACTGATAATTGAGATGAACGGGAAGAAGAAAACTATATTAAAATGATCGTTTAAAACTTATTTACATTCTTTTATAAAATTTTCAAGTGACATAGCCGAGGATTTTTAACACAGATGTATTCACTCCTTATCTTCGTTTCGACCTTGAATTCCACTATTCCTTCGTACACACCTTACTACTCTGTCCTTTCGAACCATATTATCAATGCTCAGTCGTTTTTATTATCGTTGTTACCACATTATGTCAACTCATTTATTATTCATTTTATTAATTTGATTTCGTCGTCCTAATATGTTTTGACATCTTGGGTTAGGTACATCTGTACCAGAACCTATTTCGAATAAACTGACTGAAATCCTTTGGGGATAAACTTGGGATTTTTAAGCTTTATATAATAAATAGTAATTCTTAACTTTATTTGGATACACAAGTTTCCTTGTACCTGATAAATTTGTCTCAAATTATTTGACTGAAGTCATGTTTGTAATTCAATCTATCAAGTTGATTATATTCCTTTAAACCTTTGAATTAGATTATTAATACTGTTTAATTATATTATCATGTTCTCACTATTTAATATAGAAGGATAAATCAGGTAAACATCCAGTTTCCAATATTCCTTCTGGATCTAGTAGTGCCTTTGAACCACCAAGTTGTGCTCCTAGTGGTGGATTATTCAATTTAGTTGATACTTCTTTGTCAGTTGCACCAGCTCATTTACCGGATCCATGGTCTGCTCCTTTAGTAGTTCCGAGCAGTTCGTTAAATAATAATAATACATCATCACCTTCTCCATCCACATCATTTAATAATACCAATATACCACAGTCAACATTTCCACTTATCCCTATTGATGATCCTTGGAGCCCGAAAAGTAACTGATTTTTACTGTATACTTTTATTTAAAATTTATTGTTTCATTAAATGATACACATAACTCGTACCGTATACATACAAATTATTTGATAGTGTCATGATTTAATAATTGAAACACTCAGCCCCCAACTATTTGGTTTACAGGCTGAAAACTTACTTCCACCACCACTTAATATTAATAAGCATCATATATTTGATGTTTCTTAAGGCTGACTAGATGAATTTATACCTGATTGCCGAGCGATGTAATGAAAAAAATTAGGATTTATACTTGTGATCCTACCTCTTTATTACTGGGTGCGAAATAATACGACCAGTAGTATCAATACTAGACTTGGCACTTTATTAACATACTAGGTAACAGATTGCTAGAAAAATCACTTTATGCACACAGTTACACAATATCCGGCTTACGATCAAAAGTCAGATTAGGTTGGACAATAGTTCATTCACATAAATTACAGAGAAGTCAACATAGTTAAATCCAAGTAGAAATAAACCATTCTAATATTCATATCAAAATAATCTGTATATTTGTTATAGCTCTGATGTGTACCTCTGTTTACTGGCCAATCACGACTCAGCTTCACCTGACGTGTCAGTGGGTTGCATATCTTAGTGTTTGGATTTACCTTCGTTGATTGACTAAGCTTTAGGTATAGAAACAAAGGAATAAAGTTGAAAAGTAAAACCATGGGTTATGATTGTTATTTGAACTGATGATCTTCGGTTAACGGACCTCATGTACTGTCGACTAGCTGATGTACAAGACCAAACTTTCAATCAGAGAAAATATGCCTTGTTATAAGTTTTTTATCCGCTAGTATTGTGTTTTTAACAGTAGTATGCTATTATTTGATATACAAGATTGACTTACAATTGTTTACATTCATCCAAAAATACATCTTATTGGCAGAAAATTGCTTTTCATGATCTCTTGGAATTTAGCCTAATCGTGTTTAATTTCTCTACTATACCAGCGCAAAATATACACAATTTTTCATCCAAATAACATAGCAATTTAACCAAAAGAGGTAACTAACAGGAGTTATTGAATTGATCGTTTCATATAAACGACTGTACTTTACTGAGTACAAAAGGAAATAGTGTTTTATTAGCCGTTATTCATATGTTTGTCATTTTGTCGACTACTTGTACAATTAGTGATCAGTATGACAAACCTCTAAACGGAGTCACATTTTACCGGGTTTTAAATTTAAAATACATAGATTCGTGTACTAGATGACGAATTATGCCGTCTTATTGGAATTTTCTTGGGCGGAGAGTATCAAAAGGATTTCGAACATTCTACCAATGGTCGTAAGCCTCAACTATTAAAAAAGTTGTTTGTAAAAGTTATGACTACATATATTATTATCGGACTATGTCGTACAACTCTTTTTTGGTGTTTATGTATTTTACTTAGTTGTGTTATAATTCAATCGCTATAGTTTTATAATTTTTTTGACTGGCTTGTTAGGGGACTGAATTTGGTATATCCTGAAGGTATTACTTAGGCTTGGTAATATTACTAGGTGGATAATAATGAACCTAAACGTAGGATACTGGATAAGGTAGATAGGTCCTTGAATTTTCGAACATTTATCAACTGCAAGTGCTTGGACATATTTACCACATCTCCCTGCTTTAGTAATGCAGATATCTTCTTTGGGAGCCGTACGACGATTGTACTCAATTGTTTGAAACCTTAGATGACGTTGCTTGAAGTGCAGTAGCAACAGTGAGGATACTTTCATTTCTTATTTCTTCGGTTTTTCACCATCGTTGATATGATTGTTCTTTGACGTCCTTGATTTCCAACTTGTTAATTTTCTCTTTGACTGTATTAATATGGGGTGTGGCCACTTAGCTCGACGCACAGTTATATCAGGTCTTGCATATATTATAACCAATTGACGGTACTATATACGAATAATAACTGTTCGCAATGACTGTGAACTATATTTTATAAGTACTTATTTAAAAATATATTTGTAAGGGTTTAATATTATCCAGCTGTTGATACCAAAAAATGTTTTTGATCAGTCTTTTGATCATATGTGCGCCATGACCGGATGCTTTAATATTCCTTACTGGTAAGACGTTATCGTGTCGTAGCTGCTACCTTGACGCGGTGGTCGGGATTGCCTATCGTGATGACCCAACCGAGCTATATTGTCTGGAACATATGTTCCTGTAGGTTCTACCATGCCAGGCAGGTTGATTGGAGAACGATAAGACTAAAGGCAGCAACTCAAGGTTTGAGGGCGAAGTCATACTGCTGACTGTAGAGGGGTGTGACAACAGTAAGGTGTTTCCCTCGGACAACCAGCATCTATAGCGATGCTGCCTTCTCGCGAGGAAGGAAGGGGTTGGAAAAGGTCGACCCTAAAAATGTCATACCTCACGGATTCCCGTCTCCGGTGGTAAGGCCCTTTGAAGAACGGAGCTAACACATTAAAAACCTCCCACAGAAATTCCGTGCGCGACTGGCCTCAAGCAGTTGTCCCTTGGGCTCTGCGGTCACGGAGATCATTTGTAGCTCAACCGGATGCCTTTAGTAAAGTTTCCTGATCTACAAGTAACCACTGATGGTGATTTTGTCCTGAACGACAGCGAGAGTTTCATAATTAAGCCATCTACATAAGAACACCCGACATTACTGTAAAATTGTATCTTCGATTACCGATGTATTTAAGCAAGAAATTGGCTGAAATCTTTCAATTTTTGGACGCAATTCCAATATACTTTATTTGTAAGAATTTTTGTAATTATGTAAATCGTTAAGAATTCTAACAGATAGATTATTTTTTAGCTAGGTATCATGTTTATATCACCGAGTACTCAGCTTTTGTTTCACTTTTCAAATAAATGTCAGTATCGTTCAGAAAAATGTTACTATTCTGCAAAATATCATATTATGTTAATTAATATTGTTTCGAAATCAACAGTTCGGTGGTTAAAGGTTTTAAATTTTTAGATCCTTGAAGTATACTTCAAGTAGTTTAATTGGTCTGGGCCGAATAGTATCCCTGACCGTTGCACGAACAATGGGGTTTAAAGTTAACTAAATAAAAACCTGTATTTTGTAAATGAGTTGCAATATTTTTTAAACTATCTATATTTCCAATAGATCAGCCAAATATTTCAACACATTCTACAACAAGTAATTCCGATGAAATGTGGAATTTGGAATCAACCTTAGGTGCTACATTACCGTCCACTTCTAATATAAACACCGAGTCAGTTATTTCTAACCATCATCATCATGCCAATAGTGGTAGTAATCTAAATAATAACAATGGGCATTTTGATTTTGATTTGAATGGAACTTCAAATAATATGAATGATCAATTTCCGCAACAGCTTCAACAGCAGTCCACTTTTCAAAGTGCACAAACATCTTTAACTATAGAACAACAACAGCAAGAACAACAGACTGTACGTAAACGAACTCCTGCTGACTTTTTAGGTGAACATCAGAAATTAGTTGACTTGGAGAAGTTGATTGAAAAAAATCCAGGTAATTCCTTGCAAAATTGTTTTATTGTTTACAATCTATTCACATGTTTGGTTTCTCAAATTTTACTGGTTTAGTGGTATTTAATACTCTTACTCCATCTATCTTGAACTCTTTCAATTTATTTATGGTATGGATATCAGTCTCGATTTGAATAGCTCGGTGATGGTAATCTTTTGTAATTGTAACATCGGGTAACACAAGTTAGAATTCCATACGGTGCATGAGCTCCCCTGACACTTTAGATACATCTTGTTGACAAGTGGCAACTTTCATGGAAGGTCTAAACATACTACAACTCACCAAGTACAGTTTTATGTAGTAGACTTTGACCCATATACTGTTTGTATGAGGACTATTCGGTTGCCCGAAGCAAAGCAGGTTGAGTGCGGTATGAACCTCTGAGGTGCTAGTTAAGTCTAGTAACTTAACCATTAAACTACTTGTCTTTAGTCAACTTTAAAAGTAAACTATCGACAATTTTCGTCTAAACTGAAATTAAGACAGACTTCTGGTTCTTTTTTGATTCATACATCCCAGATGATGTTCTTGATTAGCCGACAGTTCCTAAAAATTATGTTTTTAACTGTACGAAAAATCCTGCTATCTATTCCTAAAGTTTACATATTTAAATTGTGCAAATGAGAACTACGAACCTATGAAATTATGGTAATTGATTACTAAACTAATTTGACCGCTCAGAAAAGTGTATGTAATTATTATATCTGACGAAGATTAAATGAATGGTAACTGTCTGGATTAATTTACGGGTTATTATTGTATATATCCTTATTGTATAATTATTAAGTAACTGGATTATATATATATTCCTTTTATCATGGGATTTCCCTTGACCAATTAATTACTTTTATGTTATTTACTACTCTTAATCTGCTGCCAGCTTATTATTCTCGGTCCCCCCTACTCATGGTCACTCTTCGGCTCGATCACACATAATTGTTGTTTTCCATTTTATGGTGTAGTGTGGTCGAATATGTCTGTATATAAACTACGAATGCTTGAAACAATATTTGTGTGGTGGATGATGGTTAATTTGTTCTGGACTCAACGGGCAGAGCAGGAAGAGAAGCTACCGTATCGGTGACCAATATGGACTTAGCAGTGAATCAAAGCTACGAGTCTTGGTTGGCTTAGAACCAAAGTGATAGAAATCAAGATTCTGAATTGTGTTTTTGTCACATGATATTAGTAGTGCCCATAAGTCATAACAGTAATGAAAGTGAGGTAGAAATCGGTTATAATAATTTATCTTTTAATTCTTATACTGATCTGTCAGTAGGGCCGCATAATTGTAACACTCATTCAATAAATGGCACTTCACTGACAATTAGCGTCTTTGCACGATCGGCGTTTGTAATGTTTATTACATTTTGAACCATCATGTAGATCAAGTCTCTGGTGCGCCTATCAGTCTTTAGACTGTTAACCTACCGAAGTAGCGGAAAACCAAAATACTTTCCACAGTGTAACAGAACCTTTAAGTATTTATTTCAGTTCAGGTAAACGACTGCGAATACAAATCTTATATTCTTTATTATGGATGCTTTGAAAATGTTGTGTAAAAAGTGAGCAATTAATAGGCTTTGATTTAAAAATAATTCAACAAACAGATGATTACTCACTTTATTACGGATATATCAAAATAGTCGATCAATATATGTACAAAACAGTCAAATTAAATTATTAGAAAGCCTTAAACCTAGGTTTCCTAGCTGAATGGTATTTACCAGCCATTTGAGCGTTGTATTACACAACTCATCATTCAAATGGGCTACAAGGATCATGCTGACCTTTTCTCAAACGGGATGATTACAGTTATCGGTCATCGTGTGATTACAAATATTATATTATTTAGTTTGTGGTGCTGACTAAAATTTCTGTCTTGTTACAAGTAACCTCCAACCGCTTACTGTCTAACAAAGTGCACTAGCATGTCAAATCGTTCGGTTTTAAGTTTTGTTACAAACTTCCATTGCATAGAATTCACTCAACAATGAGAACTAGAGACCATAGCATTAATTACTACCCAGTAACCAGGTAGTTTATGCATAAAATATCAATTTTATTCATCATTACCAAGATAGTTTAATATTTAACCAGTTCGAAAATTCCCGTAGCTCTTTCAAAAAAAGCACAATTATTCAAGGTTTAGTCAGTTGAATTTGCATTCACGTAAAGCTATTGTTTATTATTGAAATGACAATTTAACTGCCAGATAATTATCGCTCCCATTCTCCTTGTTAAATAAACACACGTTTAAGTGACTAACTATATCAAATGCTCCAAGTATGTATTTTTCTTTTTGAAGTCTTACATGAAATCATACATGTTATTTGATTATTCTGAAATAATTCCATTATATGAGAATTATTGCAGACGATTATTTTATTTTACTTGGTTGTAAGTTCACAATTATTTCCACAATGTGATGAACATTTTGAATATTTACTTATCCGTGTCACTAACAGTTTGTACGTTCTTTGGTTGTTTTAAATTGATTAATTTATTCTTTCTAATAATGTTACTATAAAATTATTTAATGATTTTTGTCATATGATACTACTGTTTTCTATCTTAGAGCAAAGTCTACATGTCTGATTGAAAAAATAAAACAGATGATAAATAATTTGTGTTTGATTATGCTTAGATAGTTAGCTTTTTTTCTCTTTATTTAGCTTAAATAATTCTCAAATAACCGCTACTACTATTATTTATTATGCTGCTTTTAAGTAGTATATACTTTACATGTGCACTTACGGTCTTCTCTCTCATATATATATATATATTCTACACACAGTAAAAATGAGATTGTGAAGAGATAGAAAGGAAAGTGAATACAATAAAAACAACAAAAAGGAATAAAAATTAGTGTATGGGAGTAAGATGATAATAATAATGAGAGCAGCAGTTTAGTCTAAAAAAATACAACCAGAAAACATTCTTTCAGTTAAAGAAGTCTTTCTAACTTATGTGAATAAATTAAAAGAAGGATCGCCACTGGCTTCTCTTATGAGCCACGTCTAATAAAATCTCTAGTTACTATGTTGCACTACCTGTGGGACTCCAACCAAGGGGTCATGAAGAATCAACAGATGCCAGTCCTATACAGCTTCCTTCCATATTACGACACCATGCCATGCACTGACCTCCTCTCCACTTTTTTTAACCCGTCTCAGCATCAAATAATCCATGATGTGGAATTCGCTCCGACGAAGCTCACAGTACATGTTCAAGCCACCAAATTTGGTGTTTCAAGATGGCGACACTGATTGAATTATCGTCAATGCTCCCGAACATACGCATGAACAAAGGTAATAATAGAAACAGTGGATCATACCAGTCTAGATTATTAATTAATATTAACCGAACAGGTTCAATTTAAGAACAACATATTTCAGAGCACGTCAAATTACTTTAAATATTTGTATGGCTGAAAGCCCAGTGAACATTTGTATTTGCCTCTGTGCACTTTCATGCGAAACTCCAAGGCTGATTTTATATGGAACCTACGATCCATCTCAAGTGAATGCTTCACAAGCTGTTTGCTTATCATGTCCTCTTATTGGATCCTTGAAATTCACTCGTTTTTTGTAGTTTGAATTGTTGACTGAATGCTGATTAAGTGTATCCATACAACAGGATGTGATACTCTTTTATCCCGACGGGAATTATGAATGGCAATTTCTGAGAACTATTTATGGACTAATATTATACATATATTCTTATCATTTAACCATTCAGTAACTAGACTATGTTTATCTATACACCTGTGGCGATGGCGAGATATCCGTCTGTCAATTAAGGGAAGTTCGTTCTGTTTTAATTTACGGCTGCAAAACGTGGCCATTAAGAGAAGGTACTCGTAAGCGACTAGTATTTGACCACAGATGCCTTGGAATATTGCTGGCGTCTGCTGGGATCACCGGGTAAGTAATAGTGAGTTTAGACTCAGGGTATTAGGTAATGATGGTAAATCAGTTGATGAGGTTGTTAATCTTCATCGACTGAGATGGTTGGGTCACGTGTTACGTATGCCTGAACACCGATTACCACGACGTGCAATGCTAACGGGTGTTAGAGATGGTTGGAAGAGAATTAGGGGTGGCCAAACCAAAACGTGGCATCAGTGCTTGAAGACACTAACCTCTAGTCTGAGCCATGTTTGTAGATGCAGACTACTTGGTTGGGGTCTGCGTGACTTTTGTAACCGATGGTTGGAGACTCTTGGTGACATGGCTCAGAATCGATCACAATGGCATCGGTGTATACACTATCTGTCTTCCTTTAAACTAAGAGATTAAAATCGTTTCATATCTTTCTTTCTACGAACTAATTCCATATTCCGGTACTGTATCCTTATATACAATCTTTCTCCTATATATTACCACCTTTAACCTAACCACTCCCATGAATCCGGTGTTCATCTTGCTGTGCTAATGAGGTATGGCAACTTGAACCGATGCATATATGTCCCTGATCTTACGTTGTAGCTAACTGACTGACTACCGTTATGCCCAGCTTATTAATTACAGTCTCCCACATTCACAACCACTTTTGACCAGGTCTTGTACAAATGCCATTTTGTATTTTATGGTGTGATGTGGTCTGTTTGGTTTGTATATAAACCCAAAATGTTTTAAATACACGATCTATATCGCGGAGGCTGAGATTTGTGTTCTGGACTCAACAGGAAGAGCTAGGCAGGAAGAAGGACCGATAAAGACTCTAGACTACTCGTACTGGTTTGTGTGTCATTGGTTCGGTAGCTAAGTCGCTATTTTCTATTTGGCAGTATCATTAAGTTATATATTAGTAGGGCACAAGGTCACAAGTCATGACAGATACAGTCGCCATAACCAATAGTCATTTCTAATACTACTCTGGGGTTTGTCTTGACGATTTCATCTCGCTATGCAATTATTGTTTGACAAGTTTAATATATATTCATATGTGTCAGATTCTAATAAGTGTCTGACTGTTTCTACTAGGATCGTTAAAATAGTTATCATTCTTGTTTCCTTTTCTGTATTCTCAACAGCTACGTATGTTTACTGTTTTCAAACATCAATTAGTGTATGTATGACTGCAATACAGTAGATCAGATATATTGTATTGTTCTACATCTTGTATTTCTTTTTTGAAAATTGTCCCTACATTTGGTTTCCTAATCAACTCCATTTACTTATAGAACCATCATTTCATTTTTATTTAATTACTGTTTGTTTTCTGTTATTGTAATGTAGATTAATATGACAGATTGAATTGATATATTCAACTACCCTTAGTTCATATTATCTATCCTACCGGTGGTCATTTAAATTGATAATACGATACTTATTAAAAGTATATTGCAGTAGACGTGATAATTTAATTAGTGTACGTTCGGAAAATGCATAAAATATGTAACAGGGTCATGCATCAAATCACTTGTCAATCAAAATTGCTAGTAGGTTTCTTGAAAATGTAATGCAGAAATAACTTTTTAATAATAACGTCTTTGATGAATATCTTTCACCTTGTTGTAACAAAGAGTTTTGCGTTATAAATACTATGAATACTATCACTCTCTACTAGCCACGTCATGGTAACAAGGTGCGACTTGACTCCATTTATTCAAGGGCTTCGACGTGTAGAAATTGATGTAGATTACATCGAAGTGAGCAGTGTTTTTAGTGTTCATACTATCTTCTAACGTCTCTGTAGTATGAACAAATTGTTTTTGAACACAAATAGGGTTTCCGTATAGCCAAGCCTTCAGTAAACCTTAGTATACACTCTTGAAGGATTTTTTACAACACTACAAATGCGGACTTGATACAAACCTTATGACCAGTCTCAACCAAATGTTTCGCAATGGAGGAGGATGTCTATATTGTGTCCTTATTTGACCATTGGAATTCAGTTGTTTCTGTAGCTATTCGGATATGTGTTCCATCACGATTGCTCCTCCCTACGTACGTGTTTCCGCACATACATGTAAATTGATAGACAGAATGGGATGTGCCACAATCACTTACGTTCTGTTTGTGTTTTTGGCGAACCATTGACCTTTTCTTTTCAATAATTACAAGTTGGGCCGCATAAAATGTCCTGTTGATGGCTAATTTAAGTCTCCGTTTCAATATGAAACTAATTGAGTCACCTCTAAACGGTAACATAATGTAAATCCGCTTTTTGGGTGCCGGAAGTGTCATAAGTCTAATCGTATTGGAACCCATCGATTTATAAACTTCAACGAATAACCTTTATTCATTAATGTTTCAGTCAAGAGCTTCGTCTCTACTTCAGTAGTATCGCTAGTGCAAATATGATTAATTCTATTGAATAAGCCGTTTATTAATCCACGATTTTAATCAATTGGGCAGTGACTATGGAAATTAAGATGTCGTCCTGTCCATGTCGGCTTTTTATACACAGGACGTTTAACGGAACCAGTGTGTTTAGAAAAGTAAGTTGGTTATTCTTCGCATGTAAGACAAATATACTTTTGCCTTGTGTTGAGTTCTTTTAACAAGCGGTCCACATCTTCACGTTCATCGCCTATGATTATGTCATCACACTATCATTTACACAGACACATCTTTTGAATTGAGTCTTCAGTTAGGCCTTCAACATATCACATATCATCAGCCAGCAACGGTCCTAAAAGAGTACCCATAGCTGCTCCATCGACTTGCCGAAAGCGATCACCCTCAAAAGCGGATTTTACATTGTCGGTACACAATAATAAAAAATCTTTAAGAGTTTTAACATCAAATGGCAATGGAAGATAATTCAGTGAGATATAGTCACATAAAATATCAATAGATTTCCTAAGAGGTATATTTGTAATTAGTGTTCACATCAAAGGAGCAGATTATCTTTCTTTTTATATTCATATCAATTAAGTACTTAATTAATCCAAATGGGTCAGTCAAGAAATACTTACAAACTTGATTTCGGATAGGGTTTAATAATTTAGTCAGCCATTTTGCAAGGTGACTGACACATTGATATAATTGAACGTAAGGGGGTATTAAGCTTATGAATTTTCGGTAATCCATATCAATTGGGATACATCGAACCCCTAGGTTTTAATAAATAAAAATCATCTTTGTTAATAGCATTATTGTTCAACAATTTCATTAGATTCGAGTTTACTTCTAATACATACGATCCATCGGAATCAACAACATTTTCGTTTATCACTAAAAATGGATTCCATTTTATTTTTGTAATCGGACTTATTAATAATAACAACACCAGGTTCTTTATCAGATTTAAGTATAATACTACTGGCATTAATTGGTAATTCTTTTAATGACTTGAATTGCTGAGTAGTTAATAGGGCATTGATAGTCAATTGTTGGATTTATGTTGTACTTCCTTACTTATTTACGCCACCTCGGACTCCTGGAGGAGCATAGGCCACCCACTAGCATGTTACATCCAACCCTGTCCCGAGCAGTCTTTTCAAGTCGCTATTCGTTCTTTTTGTGTCTGCTTCCAATTATCGGCGCACTATGTTCTTCGACCCTCCTCTTTTCGTTTCCCTACAGGAATCCATATTAGCGCTTGCCTCGTAATGCAGTTTGATGGTTTTCTCAATGTGTGTCCTATCCACGACATGGACGTCCCATGATATCTTCATATCCGGTGTTGTCCATTTCAACTTCAGCGTTTAGGTCTCCTATCAGGATGGTGAAATCCTTTCTTGGGCATTACGCTATGATCGATTGCAGCCTCGAGTAGAACTGATCTTTATCGTCGCCGTTGCTATCATTGGTGGGTGCATAACATTGGATAACATTCATTGTGATTCCCTCCTTCTTTGTTTCGAAGGATGCTTTGATGATCCCAGATCCGTGAGATTCCCATCCTATAAGTGCATTTCGTGCTTCTTTGAACAGCATCAGGGCAACTCCCTGAGTGTGCAAAGCACTCTCCTCTTTGTGACCAAAGTACAACAGCATTTCTCCCGTATCTAACCCTTTCTGTTCAGCTTGGGTCCAATGGGTTTCGCTGATTCCGAGCACCGTCAAGTCGTATCTCCTCATTTTCGTTGTTATTTGACTGGTTCTCCCAGTCTCCCACATTATCCGGACATTCCATGTTCCTATGAAAATTGTTGCTCTGGTTGTTAGAAGGGGCATCGGCCTCGTGGCTTCCGAAGAATCTCGGTTTTCATCATGAGGCGTCATGATTCTTCATTCAACTCCCAGGGTAGTGCTTAAATTATTTATTCCTCTCAGCGTTTTTTAACAAGGTTTTTTTCTACGGGACGGGGTTGCTAACCATCTACCCAACCCTCCTCCTTTTCCCGGACTTGGGACCGGCAGTAGCGCTAGAAGAGCTACAGGCGGAGTCCATGGCGTGCAATTGATTAATACACGCTGGATATCTTTGACCTTGATGTGGATCGATAAACTGGTAGATATTCAGTGACCTGACTGCCAGGTGAATCAGGTAGCGCTCAGAGACATTTCACTAGCCCTACAACTCCGTATCATCCATCAATTTCGTAATTATCCTGAGTATTGGATCAACACTGAAGTAGTGTTTCAAATAGCAGATTGATAGTAAATTTGGTTAGTGGGAGTGATAAAGTTCCAATCTTTAGATTTCCACATAAACTACATCCCATTTTTGATTTACTATAAATTCATCTCTCTAATAATGCTATTATTCCACCATATGGTTCAGTAATTTACCATATAAAATGTTTTAACAAGCGATTCGACTATGAAAACTAAAGTCTGTGAGTGGAGTAACGCTATTTCTTATTTATGACGATTTCTATGAATACCATGATAGCACTTAAAGTGCACTAACATCAAGTGGTGACCTGTAACGTACGCCCTTTCTCCAGAATCAACTAATCTTTATTTGCACCAGTCTGCTGTCCTCATTCCATGGAGTAGGAATTACGGAGATTTGTTTTTTCAATAATAAAATCAACGTTGTTTTCTACGTGGTGGCGTACTTGTCCCATGCCCAACCCTTCTCCTTTACTCATGCTTGGGACCTGTAATTGCTACAGGCAGAGTTATTTGTTTTAGACTGAAAAATTATAACTCAGATAAAGTGCCTCCTTTTGATGATCGGAGAATAGAATGGAGGGTAAATGAGTGACATTTATCAGGATTGATTGGTAAAGAAGTGTGATGAATATTATTATTTCAGCAAGATTTTTCCAGCTTCTCATCCCTTGTTTCGTTTTCATAATGTCGGTTTTTCAAAAACTAATTTGATATGGCAAACTATAGATATTTCTGTTAATTCAGGTAATCTTTGAGTTTGCAGTCCAAATAAATTGACCAACTTATCATTTAGGATTTCGTCTGTTGAATAAGATTTGGAATATTAAGTTGTAACTTACTTGAAAGAAGAATCTTACGTAGCTGGTTCGGGAATATGTGATTTGACAAACAAGATTTCTAGAAGTGCAGTTTCACTCGTTCCAATGTAATTGTGTATTTGAGGTTAACTCGTTCATATAACCTTCTAATAGTTTGTGTAGAGTCTTTTCAGAAATTTAAAACAGTCCATTTGATAAATTTTGATAGTGCGATGAGAAGGCGAAAGTTATCATTGCGAAACATTTAGTTGAGACTGTTCATAAAGTTGATACCAAGTCAGCATTTGTAGTATTGTACAAAAGCTTTCAGGGGTGTATACTAAGGTTTACTGAAGCCTAGGCTATGCGGAAACTGATAGTCTTTATAGTACTTCAGAAAAAGATTTACGTGTTAAGTTTCAGATTACTTTGTTTGCTTGGGTTATATGGATTAGGACTACTTAGTTTGTTTCATTTTTATGCTCATATGTTTAGACGCTTTTTAATCTCAGCAGGTTTATCTTGGTTCTCCTCCCAGCATTGAATACAAAACAGTTAGTATACTCTTATCTACTTATTCCAAATGTCTTATACAACGATTCCTGTTCTGCTTACCAACAACAGTACAAAATTTTGGATTGTGTAATCTACTTGATCATACAATAGAAAACTTAATGTGTTTGAAAATGTTAACAAATAATTGGTCATCTTTATCTTCATAGCATCATTTGTATTTGCTTAAATTGTTAGTGTGAATACTGTGAGTTAGGTTCAACGTTGTTTTCTGACAAAGATTAAACATTTAGAAAGCACTTATTGCGAGTTTGGTGTTATTCTGTTGCCAGCCAGTGTGAAAATTCGCTACATATTTCATGAAAAAACTCATGGCAGTTTATCACGAAGTGATCAAGGAATTTAGCACTGAAAGTGAATATTATATACGTCTTTTAATCAACCAACATGATAATTTCGAATATTTGGTGTTGTAAGTTGCAATTGCCAACAAATTCATAATTTTGCATTATATTTTTTCTCCTTCCCCAATTAGCTTCTACAAATCCATTCACTGTTGGTTCAAAATCTGTAACTGGTGCAGCTTGTAATCCATTTATACCTAATCAGTCATTGAAACCATCACTGAATCAATTGGCACCAGCACCGGCACCTCTATCAGGTGCAATTTATCATAACACAATGAGTAATCCAATGTTCTATCAAGTTCGACCATATTATCCTGCTAGTGGTTCTGTCTCAACAGTACAACCCAATTATATGGTACCGATCAATACTGCAAGTGCATGGTCCGTTATTGATGGCTCTGGAAATAATATGATGCATCAACAACAGACAAGTAGTTTAAATCCATTTTACTAAAGATGATCATCATTATTATGCAACTGTGACTATTATTTTCATTGTAGTATCGCATCAACACTGGAACTACTACTACTTTTGTTTGTGTTCAAACACTGGTTGCTTATTCCTTCATTGTCTCTTTCGGGTTGGTTTTTTAAGAAAAGAAAACAGTTATTGATCTCTATTGCCTTCATTTCTCTTTTAAAATGCTAACCCTGAAGTATCATTGTCGTTTGACCGTTGTGCTGTTCTGTACAACATATACAGTACCAATTCTTATTGCACTCAATCTTTCTACACTTAGTAGCTTTGATTTTCTTCGCCTTTTTCCCTTCTAAAGACAATCGATTCATAACGTTTAATACATATTCTTTGTCTTGTCAAGAATTAAGCTATCAGGGATCTCTCAACTCTTCCTAATTGCAGTATGTGATTATTGGCTATCATCAACATTTAAATCTTGCATATTTAGGATCACTATGCTTATGCAAATTTTGTGTGTGTTTTATTCCGTTTTTTCTTCTGAAAACGATTACACTGCTGATGCTGTCGTTACTATTTTGAGCCTATTACAACACCTACTACTATCAGTGTTATCAAGTTAATATGAAATAAATTATTCTCCGTATCTTTTCTTGTGAAAAAAGAATAGTTCTCCTCCCATTGAGATACATTTTGCCGACACAGCCCCCCTTCTTGATATCAGTATAACATGCTTTCATTATTAAAAAAGAAACATAATTCATTTAGTGGTAGTAATGTACATCGTATGTTTTTGGAAAGAATAAGTTCATTCAAAGACAAGTAATTCTACGAATGTTACTGAACCACCAGTCGAATGTTAAATAAAATTGTGAAATGCCATTCAATTACCAATATATATATATATATATATATATATATATATAGCAGTTCACTCTATGTTTATTTGTACTATTTTTTCCTCTACTAATATTTTCACTTGAATTCTCATTCTTGTTTCTGGGTTCTTTTTTTAAATCACAACAAATGACTGATTCAAAATGTTAATTATTTGTGTCACAACAACAACTACTACTAATATTGATAATCATGTATTGATTTATTGACTGATCAGTAATTTCATCTGATCTCTTTGTTGTCGTTGTTTGCATCCTTACTAATCCTTTTACAATTAAACGCAGTCAAACTATTTGATGTTTGACTGTACACATTGTGTGGAAAAAATACTTGTACTTTATTTCTTTATCGATCAACAATGATTTGCTTGTTATTACCTTTATATATATATATATATATATATATATATATATATATATATATATATATATATATATATATATATATATATATATATATATATATATATATTTGTTTGTGATTACGGATGCAATTATACCTGTTCCATGCATACCTACATGTTACTTCTGATGTTTAATAATAATAATAATAATAATAATAATAATAATAATAATAATAATAATAATAATAATCGTTCGATTGTTAACTAGTTTGTGCAAACATTTAATTCTAAAACTAATACCTAATATCTATTAGGTACTAATAGCCAACGACTAACTTTATGGACGTATAGTGAGACGACTCAAAAAATATGGATCACTAAGGTGCCAAGTCTAATCTTTTCTGTCCAGCTTGGGTCTAATGAGTTTCACTTATTCCGAAAACCTCCAAGTGGTATCTTCATTTCTGCGGTTATTTGACTGATCCTCCAAGTCTCCCACATTTTCTGGACATTCTATGTACCTATATTAATTGTTGATCTGGTTGCCAAAAGAATCATTGGTATCCTGACTTCCGAAGGATCTAGGCATTCACCGTAAGGCGATATAATTCTTCTAAATGATGATCCTCCAATTCCCAAGGTAGGGTTTAGATGGATTCGTGTTGTTTACTACGAGATGAGGTTGCTGACCCTATGTCAAACCCTACTTTATCCAGGCTTGAGACGGACAGTAACTCTAGAAAGGTGATCTGCTAAAATTCCCAAAAAGCCTTACAAGAAGGTTGATTAGGATTTTCTTGATCATGAATGTTTCAAGCTTCTCTGTATGATTAGTGCCAGTTTTCGGATTGCTGAAACTATGAGAACTATCTTTTTGGTCGGTTTATACTCGAATAATTCGAAGTATGACTGTTTTGACTAGTCCGATATATAATCGAATTACTTCTGGAGCCACTAATGTCCCATCCTTACCAGAGAGAATATTGTTCGTGGAATCATAAATTAGTTCAAAAGTGGTTTACAATCACGACAAGCCTGAAAATGTTGTCATAAAATAATTGTCTGTTAAATACACTTGGTAAGCATACTAAATAAATAATCACAAGATAAATAGTTCACTCCCACCATCTTCCTTTTCAAACACGCAGATAAATGTATTCTGTACAATAATACCACTTATTATCGACAGGTTTTCATTTTCATTGAAATAGTTTCTTATCACAAAATACTACTTAATTATTTTGCAAATTGATTCAGTTCACCTGTCAGTTTTCATTTTATGCCATTTACCTTATTAGCATAATTAAACACAAAAATAAACTCTAAAGAGGAAGAATGTATTTGTAAAATCTCAGCGAAAGAATTTGAATTTGGAATTACTTCAGATCCTTTTTCTGAGATTTTACAAATACTTTTCTCCTTAATGTCTCACATTAACTCGGCGCCCAAATACTATGAAATTATTCGATCAAACTTAGACGAAAGTTCTTAAAAATAAACTCTGTTCTCAACATAAATACGACAACAACAAGAAAAGAGAAGTGTAAGCTTTTGTCAGTAATTTCAGATGTCCGTAGTTTTTTTAGCGACCTAAGTAATAAAAAAGGTATTGGTCAACATGTAATTCTATGCATATTGTATGAATTGGATCTTCATCTTCAACCGAAGTAATTTTGAAGCGGTTGCGTTATTCGTGTTCAAAGATATCATGGTGTAATCGGTTAGTGGATAGTTTGATAAGACATTAAAATTACTGAACTGGTCAGACTGGTAGTTTTACTGATGTGAAAGATCCTCGATTCAAAACCACGAACGATAATATACAATCTCATAGTTAAATAATTAATTGGCGGAGACTAAGAATACAAATCTGAATAAGCTAACTTAATATTCTTAAGGTTAAGCAGTAGTAGCGATTAAACGTGTAGTAAATGTATACTACCGATAAAGTCCGAACTGCGGCGAAGAAGCTGTCTGGTGTTCAGGGTTTCGAAGTAGTACACAACTGTGGCATTATTACAATTTATATTACAGCATTATCAAGTATCCTCAGTCTTACTGCTTATTCATGGAAATACAAACCTCCGTAATTCCTACTCCATGGAATGAGGACAGCAGACTGGTGCAAATAAAGATTAGTTGATTCTGGAGAAAGGGCGTACGTTACAGGTCACCACTTGATGTTAGTGCACTTTAAGTGCTATCATGGTATTCATAGAAATCGTCATAAATAAGAAATAGCGTTACTCCACTCACAGACTTTAGTTTTCATAGTCGAATCGCTTGTTAAAACATTTTATATGGTAAATTACTGAACCATATGGTGGAATAATAGCATTATTAGAGAGATGAATTTATAGTAAATCAAAAATGGGATGTAGTTTATGTGGAAATCTAAAGATTGGAACTTTATCACTCCCACTAACCAAATTTACTATCAATCTGCTATTTGAAACACTACTTCAGTGTTGATCCAATACTCAGGATAATTACGAAATTGATGGATGATACGGAGTTGTAGGGCTAGTGAAATGTCTCTGAGCGCTACCTGATTCACCTGGCAGTCAGGTCACTGAATATCTACCAGTTTATCGATCCACATCAAGGTCAAAGATATCCAGCGTGTATTAATCAATTGCACGCCATGGACTCCGCCTGTAGCTCTTCTAGCGCTACTGCCGGTCCCAAGTCCGGGAAAAGGAGGAGGGTTGGGTAGATGGTTAGCAACCCCGTCCCGTAGAAAAAAACCTTGTTAAAAAACGCTGAGAGGAATAAATAATTTAAGCACTACCCTGGGAGTTGAATGAAGAATCATGACGCCTCATGATGAAAACCGAGATTCTTCGGAAGCCACGAGGCCGATGCCCCTTCTAACAACCAGAGCAACAATTTTCATAGGAACATGGAATGTCCGGATAATGTGGGAGACTGGGAGAACCAGTCAAATAACAACGAAAATGAGGAGATACGACTTGACGGTGCTCGGAATCAGCGAAACCCATTGGACCCAAGCTGAACAGAAAGGGTTAGATACGGGAGAAATGCTGTTGTACTTTGGTCACAAAGAGGAGAGTGCTTTGCACACTCAGGGAGTTGCCCTGATGCTGTTCAAAGAAGCACGAAATGCACTTATAGGATGGGAATCTCACGGATCTGGGATCATCAAAGCATCCTTCGAAACAAAGAAGGAGGGAATCACAATGAATGTTATCCAATGTTATGCACCCACCAATGATAGCAACGGCGACGATAAAGATCAGTTCTACTCGAGGCTGCAATCGATCATAGCGGAATGCCCAAGAAAGGATTTCACCATCCTGATAGGAGACCTAAACGCTGAAGTTGAAATGGACAACACCGGATATGAAGATATCATGGGACGACATGGACTATAAGAAAGGATCTTCAATGCGGAGAGATTCGCAAACCGATATGGATTCAGCGAATTGGTTAACAACTGCCGAACGAGAACATAGAGAGTCAATTCACAAGCTGAATACACAGAAGCAGACAAAAGAGGAGTATTAGATCCAACAGGCAGTAATACGTGGAAGAGCTGACAACGACAGCGGAAAATGCTGTAATAAAAGGAAATGTGAGACAGCTGTATGACACAATGAAGAAACCAGCAGGAAAATATGGTTAACCATGGAGACCGGTCAATAATAAAGAAGGCAAACCAATTACCTTAATTCAAGAACAGAAGAATTCTTGAATAGACTAGCTCCATTAAATTCACGGGATATCGAAGCAGCACACACAGACCTTCCTATAGGTGTCACTCCACTAACAATCGAAGAAATCAGGACAGACATCTGACAAATCAAGATCGGGAAAGCAGAAGGATTCGACAATATTCCAACCGAAGCACTTAAGTCAGACATGGAAGTAACTGCAAGTATGCTTCACGTTCTATTCAGGAAGATTTGGGAGGAACAACAAGTGCAGACGGACAGGGAAGAAGGATACCTCATCAAGATACCAAAGAAAGGAGATCTGAGCAAAATGCGAAAACTACAGAGGCATCACACTACTGTCAGTACCAGGAAAAATTTTCAGCAAGGTGTTGTTGAACCGTATGAAAGACTCAGTAGATGCCCAACTTCGAGATCAACAAGCTCGATTCCATAAGGACCGGTTGTTCACAGACCATATGGCAACACTATGGATAATGGTCTCTCAATCAACTGAATGGAACTCGTCACTATACATCAACTTGCTTGACTATGAGAAAGCATTTGACAATGTGGATAGAACATTTCGGAAACTTCTTCGACACTATGGAATACCTGAGAAAATTGTCACCATCATTCAGAATTCATACGACGGACTACAGTGCAAACTGGTGCATGGAGGGCAGCTGACAGACGCATTCCAAGTGATGACCGGTGCCAGATAAGGCGTTAGAAGTGGATAGGACACACATTGAGAAAACCATCAAACCACATTACGAGGCAAGCGCTAATATGGATTCCTGTAGGGAAACGAAAAGAGGAGGGTCGAAGAACATAATGCAAGGATAATTGGAAGCAGACACAAAAAGAATGAATAGCGACTTGAAAGGACTGCTCGGGACAGGGTTGGGTGTAGCATGCTGGTGGGTGATCTATCCTTCTCCATGAGGGCTGGAAGATGTAACTAAATTCCACGGACTGGCTCACACATCAGTGATCGGTTTATGTTTTT